ATCCGATGTCAATCGTAAATCTTTAGATTGTAATCGAGTTTTAATATTAGTTCTATAGAGTCACTGTTAAACTAGATCAAGTAATATAGACTACGAATTAAGATCAGTCACCTTTTGAAATTGACAGTTAGTCTGCGTTTGGTCTGGGACTGGACGTAAGGACCTCGTGTCATGTAGTCACACTTGGAAGCACTGAACTAATGAAGTAATCAAATATTATATGATACAACTAATGTACGCGGAATTTCCTTTTATTTAAGTGGGCAATAGAACTACTATATATAACCTATTATTAAAAGAGGAAACTTGTTTTGTTTGTATGTATTGTATAGGCTCAATGACTCCAATTAATCGATTGTTAAAATTATTTTACCAATCGAATCAAAAGAGACGTCGCCGGCGGAAAATTAGCTTAATTAATAACGTACATATAACTATAACGAACTGCTTCGTTGGCCGAGTGGTCGCAAGTGTGACTACCGGGCAAATAGTCTCGGGTTCAATTCCGGGTAGGGCAAAGTATTGCTGGGTTTTTTAAGAAATTCTTAGTCGTAGCACGAAGTCTGGAATTGTGCATGGAATATGGCAATAGGCTCACCCCCTATTACATGGGACAGATACCATAAATAGTGAAAAGTGGGTGTTACATTGTACAGTGGCATTAAGTGCCGTAATGTGCACCCTACCTACCCCTTCGGGGATAAAAGGGTTTAATAACCTACATTAAATACTGCGTAAATGTCGACGTGTATTTCAAACTAAATATCTACTAAATAAATCTGTAGGTACTTCAATAATCTGATTAATTTCAAACAGGAAAATTAACGTGCCGCCATTTTTGGGTACAAGCCATTAACATTAAAAGGGAATAAAATAATTATTAAATTTTATTTTTATTAATGTCAACAACGCGATTCGATTTATAAATTCAAACGCGCTCGAACGTAAATAGAGGCTAAATAAAAACGGCCAGTAACAGTAAGCAAGTTAAAAAATGGATTGTTAACATATTTGTTGTAATCGATCGTCATTCGATTCTTTATAAGTATTTTTGTTATTCGTCAACAACTGTTTCCTACTTCCTCGGTTTCGTTACGTTCAACGATGTTTTTACAGCATTCGGACTTTTTTAGTTTTAAGAAAATTGGATGGCTTGGTTGGATGGATGGCACTTTCGCTACTTACTTACTTACTTACTTGATATGCGTAAATTAAATATACAGTTAAGTAGTTAATATGATGCATTAGCATCAATTTAAGCAATTACGTTATATATAGCATTTGGTCCCTTAGTACATTATCTTAGTGTAACTCCTATGCTTTAGGCATTGTACGCCCAGATAGGTCTCAGAGGCCCCATTTGGCTAACATTTTCTGTTACATTACGCCCAAAATAAGGAACCTTATTTTTTAGGCGTCTACCTGAAAAAGAAACACTCTTCGGTTTCATTAGTGCGTTTACAAAACACTAATTTCATACATAAGTACTTCTTTCGGATCCGAAATAGCATTTTGAAGATTAGTACCTACTTAGCTGGTACACACGGCTACACATCGAGCTTTACATAACCAGTATAAACTGAACGTTAAATGTGCGGAAAGATGATGCGACGCGACACCAGGGTAAACTGGTTTTGTATAGATTGATGTGTGGCCGTGTGTACATGATGTAGGAAGACGATGCTTCACATAGTCACACGGCAAATTATAAACTATGAAGAATAGGCACCGTTGTGTTAGTATGTAAGTCTAACACTAACTTGCACTTAAATCTCAGTTAATCGTCCGTAAACCAAACATTCCTTCATCGTCAACGCGATTTGGCACAAATATTATTAGGTATTTGTAGATATAAATCTTCTTTTTATTAACATTTTACGGAAACTGTCAAGTGATTACAGCTAGTTACTAGCTACAATTACAAACATACGCACAAATTGATTTCCAGTGAAGTGCGTCGATTATTCCAATAATTAGCGTTGAATAAATTTACTAACGATGACTGCTCGTCACTTTTTTGTATATATTTACTTAAACGCGATTTAATATTTCAATATTAAATTGTTTGCGGTATTATTCGGTTTGTGGTAGCGTAATGTTAGGTATTTATTTGTGATAATTCCATTATGTCCCCATTTTCCTTTTTGTCATTAATAAATAAATTATTACAGATTAAATACTTACCTATTTATAAAACTGGGTTAATACAGGCCGGTTTTCCATTTTCAAATAATATTTTTATTATTGTTACTTGAATGAAATGGAATGGCGGCAACATATCAAAAACTATCTAAGTGTGAATTCATATAAATTGTGATTTAAAATTAACATAATTAAATTCACGGAGCGTTTATCTAGAAATGTATGTAAGTATTTACGTTTTCAGCGAACAGTACAGATATTTATTTTTTGTCCACGCCACTTTTTGCACGCGACAAAAATACCGCGGCCATGAAAAAAAGTACAGAGTCATTGAACTTGATGCCATGCCGTGTATAATCTGTAGCACACATAACTAATAATTTATGCAGTAAATACCTATTTATTAAACGCATTATTTCATTAACTGTAGGTCTGTAATCTGCGTTAATTGTTTGTGAACGGAGTTTTCAATAGGCACTCATTTATTTTGTGCGAATGCAGTTTTTTTTTCGATGCATAGGTATTGACAATTCGTTTTGTATCGATAAAAATCGTGTGCACACAACGTCAATAGGTTGATAATCGATTAGTATTGTGTGCACATCTGTTTAGCGATTGGTTAAAATATAATGTCGATATATCCTAGTACATATTTTCGCGTAATAGTGTTAATGTTTTAAAGCTAATATGGAAAATCTTGGGTCTAGACATCACTCAGATTTATTTAGATAAATAATAGCAGATAGAAATAAGTTGATCGAATGTTTACAAGTGCGATTATCAACCAATGAGTCTGCATTCTCTTTCCACATTGACCAAGGGATTGTCAAGATTTCTGCATTTCGAAAATTCACAGAGCATATTTAGCAATAATGTAGTACTTATATCTTAATCGTTATGTATTTCTGCATACCAATTATTGGCTTGATGCTATGATGTTGTTTTTCTTCACTTCATGACCCTGCAATCTTCTTAATCTTCTAAGTAAAGCTGTATTTTTAATAAGAACGGCATTACTTTAATAAATACCATGAAGTCTGGCCGCATCGCGTGAATCCGTTTCTTCGAATGGATTTATAAACAAAGTTCACCAGTGTCATTGCCAGAAATAGTCTACTATTCATCAACACATTGTCGAGGACCACGGTCCACCGCGGATGTTTAGTAAGACTAATTCATACATAGGTACCTAAGTATGTACTAAACTTTAGACCAAAACCTTTTTGAACGACTTCAAGAAAAAAAACGGAGGTTTTAATTTGACCCGCATTTACGTTTGTGCCCGATTATTTAGCGATTGTCTGAACCATTTTTGACGCGGTTTTCGGTGAAACCTTGTTTGGTCGTTAAAAAAAGAGGGCGTTGAAGTCAGTTTTAAAACGTAGTTTATTAAATTACAGTATATTTTAGTATTTTATAAAGAACCAGTTGTACTCATCCTCCAAGCTTTCGCTCTGTATAGACATAACTATTATTATCAACCTCAGTCTGTTTCAGTCTTCTACTAGATTAAGGTAATAATAGCAAACTGTTGAGTTCGATGATTCACTTCTTCATATCCAACCACTGCTAGTCAAAATCAAAATGTCTATACAATTCTGAATCTTCTAAAAAAAACAAATCTTCTCTCCAAACAGTCAGTAAGTTGTCGCGGAGAACCTAACGGGTTACCGGGGCTCCGGCTCGAAGTGCAGGTTTTTAGTCAGTAAGACTCTGACACTCCCTGCCGCCTCACCCAGGCGGGAGCAGTGATTCGATGATTTTCCCTTCTTAAAAAAAACAGTAATTTAGTAAAAAGTGCAATTCAATGTATCGATTTTCATAATCGTTTAATCACTTAGTATTTGCTTAGAATTTCAAAATGTCTTAAATGTATGCAGTCGGTTATGTTAGATCTATTTTAAAAGTAATATATCTGTCACATTTAAGCACAGCTTTTAAATCGTCAACAGGCGTGCCTTGAATTTGCAATATAACGAACCTTTGTCACTTGTTTTTTTATCCGCCATATTGGAAATTCAAATTTTAATTCTAAAAGATGACGTTATTATAAATAGTGACTCACTGGAACAAGTCTGTACAGGCGAGACGGCAGCGCTACAAGGTATCCTATCGATATTTTCAACCTTATTCTTGTGTGATAGAGTTAAAAATCTATTAGAATGTAGTAATTTTGTAGGTTAGGTTGATGTGCAGTTGTATACTTTTTATAATAATAGTGTTACGACCCGCTATTACGGAGTTTGAAGCATCTGCTAATAATATTTAATGTTCGTATAAACGAGTCTCTATTAATAATACACCGATATCTTCTAAATATCTTTGTGATAGATATTTTGATTGGCAGTTCATCTTCCGTTTTTACTAATGTCATTCACCTCGTGATGAAATTATTGTAAATATTCGATTGTTGATTTGTTGCATGTGAACTGACATTATAAAGTTAAATTTGAATTGAGAATCCACTGTTTGTTTTTCTAGCTAATTGGTATGAAAAATGGAAACAACTACTAGGTATTTAAAACTTCCTACAATTTAATTATGACATAAGAGTTTGACATCTCTAGTGTTTCGGGTGTCCATTGGCGATGCCGATTGCTTGCTATCAGTGCCTTTAGCCAAACGCCACTTTAGCGCTTGTCTACCGAGAGAGTAGAAAACTAAATGTATGGGGATAACACTGGCAAGTGTCAAAATTTACGCCAATTCCATATAGTTTGGTTTTCTATTCTACATGTAGACAAGCGCTAAATGGTATTTGGCTACAGCTGCAGGTGATCCGTCTGCTCGTTTACCGGCCATTATTTCAAAAATAAAAAAATGTCTACTTTTTTTAAAATAACAATTTTTTTTTCCAGAATTCTTCAGGCGGTTGTTAAAGCAATCACGAGAGGAGTTCCACATGATGTTCAAGAGAACGTACGGCATGATCTACGAACAACACTCCTATGTCTTCGAGCAACTTTTTGAACAGCTTGAAAGGTAACATTATGAATATTATGATTCATCTTACATTCCCATAAAACCTTTATGAATTAAACCTAATGACATCATCACCAATCATTAATATCGTACTCTGTACAGGGTTCTGACATCATCAGGATTATATATGACAACCAGGACCATTCATTATGACTTAGGTTTATTTTATCAGAGTCGTATTTTGACAATGTTAATGAATTAAGCGCTTGTCTATTAGTTTTATACATTAGGCACAATCCTGGCATTCAATAGAATATTCCAAGAATTAATACGTCTTATCACACCATTATGTATATGCTGCAGTAACAAGAGAATTAAATATTACATAGGTACCTGGAACCAACACTATTTCTGCTATTCCTCTCATAATATATTCTAGTCAGACAGTCTTGTATTTCGCTCCGCAAATTTCAAACATTAAGCGAATGAATTCCACATTCCACGTTAGCTTGCTGCACTACGGTTATTCTGAAATTACTTCTTGGAAACGTATATTATTCTGATTTGTCAAGGTAATAAAATTCTAAAATTTAGACGACAGCTGTAAATCTGATCATGATAAAGAAAATTCCATCTTCATAAAAGTTGAAAGTTACGCGAAACACGATAAAAGTAAGATCCTAATATAAGACAAAGTATTGCAAGTCTAAATCTCAGGATTACACTGTCGAAGTCCAAAGTTCACGCAAATCCCCAAAAGCACGCTTGCCGAAACCGAGCGCGATCTCTGCCTTTACGTTATTAAAAGAAAAGTAAAATATTCAGCAGCTTACTGCGGGCTTGATAAAGAAAAAGAAAAAAATCCGAGATGTTTATGAGTCCCTTACAGTTTATGGTCCTTGATAAATATATTGCGAAAGTTTTGTTTGTCTACCTTTTTAAGTACTTAGAGGACCGTTTATGTAAATGTGACCCGTCGTGGAATATTTTCTTTGAATTTTGAGGTGGCTTGATTTGATTATTTACCCTTTATTACACTGCGTCTGTCCATTATAGCCTTCTATAACTATAGCAAAGTTTCTTTCAAATCCAAAACACAATTTTCTATTAAAATAATTCTCCTCTGCAGGTACTACACCCGAGGAGACACGAACTTCGACGTGATGATGGATGGGTTCTTCAGCATACTCTACAACAAGATGTTCACCGTTCTCAACTCACAGTACGATTTTGACGAGAAGTAAGTACATAGCTTTATTATTTTCCATCAACTTTATTAGAATTGTGTCTAGTAGGTTTTTCAGGTTTTCATTTATTTATGGATATAGTTATAGTATTGACTAACTGGCTCCCCGTCCGACCAGAAACAGACCCGAGCGTACGGCGCGTCGCGTTCCGCGCGCGCCTCAAAGAGCCACAGATAGGGCCTAACAGGGCCGATGCCGATTCGGAGTCGCGGAGAACCTAACGGGTAGCCGGGGCTCCGGCTCGACGTGCAGAAGAAGAAACGGGGTGGTTTTTAGTCAGTAAGAGTCTGACATTCCCTCCCGCCTCACCCAGGCGGGAGCAGACATTCGATAATTTTCCCCCCTTAAAAAAATCACGGAATCATTGATTATGCCAAATATGTAGCTAATTGGGAATGCCTGACTTGATAATTATTTGTTTGGAATTTGTCGACCACAATGAAGTCGTACCACTACCGCCATAGCACCTACAGACTACCATCATCCAATCCACACTGGTCCTTGAACTGCTATTCCTATAACTATGACGAGTATTAGCTCATTCTAAACAGACTGTTTTAATGCCTCAACCGTTTTGGTAATGATTGATGACCAAACACACATTCATAAACTTAGTTCATCCTTTGAAGATTTAATGTCGCGGTCATTAAGAGTTTCAATTTAGATGACGTTTTGCCCACCAATATGAAGATTAATGAATGCAATTAATGATGTTTTCTTTATGCTCCCTAAATTGTATTTTGTGGGGCACCGTGTGAAATATGTCTGACAGCTCTACTAGATGAGGAAAACCCTGAAAAGTTCTAGATAAAGGTATCTCTTCGGTAATGTCTTTAATTCTGAATTTAATTTCTAAGAATTCAAGCTCTGTTCGAAAACGATCTAATCTCCTAACTCCTTGAAACAATTGGAATGATGACGGGGTATGAAAATTAAAAATCTAATTAGTCCGAAAGTTAGGTAATGAAAAAATATTAGACACGTATTTTGTTGGTAAATCAAAGTTTAGGAGTGGGGCTAAAACGTCATTTCTACGTATTAAATGTACCTACATAGAAGTGACGTCACGTGACATTCCAAATCAATATATGGTAAATATGTGTCTAATGATTTAAAATATTCTACCATTACAATAAAAATTAGGCATCTACACTATTTGGAAAAATGCTTAAAGCTTGAGAATCGTACAAAGTTCCACTTTATAATATGAACAAATTATTACTTCGTCACTTTAGTACTGGTGTAATATCAATACCATTAGCTCCACCACAACACATTATCTTAGCTGCAGACCAGTAAACATCGCACAACAATTTATTACATTCAAGACGAGAATCACAATAAATATTCACATCCCATTCATTGAGATTCATTCATTCATTACAATGGCGTCGCATCTTATTTGGTTTACCGAATCCCTTACTTGGGTCCTGAATGTTTAGTCTAGACTCGATACGAATCTATTCGGAGTGCAATAAAATTGAAGCGCTGTCGATGTCTGAATGATCGTTTGGTTTATTTATATGCGCTTTGTATTGTATCAGACGAATTGCTCTTGGTGTTTCGATAGCTTGCATTATTGAAGATATATTACGTAGGATATTGTTTCTAGATTTGATTGATCTGTCATAAGTGCTATTCTTCTCTGTCGATAGTTTTGTGATGAAGAAAATTGTTATAATTTAGTTTAGTTGACTGCACAGTTGGTGTGGTGGCTGGGCAACCGGCTGCCGTGCAACGTGTCGCGGGTTCGATCCTGCACGGAACAACACTTTGTGTGATCTACAAATTGTTGTTTCGGGGCTGAGTGTCATTGTGTATGTGAACTTGTATGTTTGTAAACGCACCCACGACACAGGAGGAAATCCTAATGTGGGACAATTTATATTTAACGTCTTCACAAAAAAAATTGCTGTGAATGGCGGACTTAATGTCATAAGGCATTTTCTGATAGTCAACCATAAGGAAGTGCATAGAAGTGAAAAGTTCCAAAGATAATGGCAATGAAATTCTCAATTCAAATCGACTGAGGGCTTGAACTCGCCAACATCGCTACAAATTGTGTCTAACCTTAAATATGTGTGAGTTACTTCTAATAACATAACATAACATCACGCCTTTTATCCCCGAAGGGGTAGGCAGAGGTGCACATTATGCCACTGTAAAATGTAACACCCACTTTTCACTATTTATGTTATGAGTCCCATGTAATAGGGGGTGAGCCTATTGCCATATACCGGGCACAATCCAGACTCCGTGCTACTACTGAGATTTTTTTAAAAAACCCAGTAATACTTTGCCCGACCTGGGAATCGAACCCGAGACCCCTTGCCCGGCAGTCGCACTTGCGACCAGTCTGCCAACGAGGCATTTACTTCTAATCTAAGCCAATAACCTAACAATGTTGCAGCAGCTATTAATGGTACAGATATAAATTGTTAACACGGCCGGCGACCACACTGCACTTCGCACTAAAGAAAGCTCCAATATCAGGCACTGTGTCTCAGCTGGAAAACGCCCCCTTTGTTTATAAAGACGCGTCAATAAAACACTTTAGCAGACAGCTTTAGTGTTATGGACACGTAAACAAACGATTAGGCTCGATAATAGGGCATAAACACCTGATAATAGAGCATAAAGTGGCGTGGAACGAATCATGATAACGTTATGAAGGGCTACCGAATAGTTTATGAGTAGTACACAATCAAATTATTAATGTTATTGCGTATGAAGTGTGTTTTTAGCCAAGTGGCGACGGGTCTGTTTCATAAAGGGGTTTTACCAGGTACTTAGGTCGTTTTTTTTTTGAGGTGGGAAAGTCATCGAATGACTGCTCCCGCCTGGGTGAGGCGGGAGGGAGTGTCAGACTCTTACTGACTAAAAACCACCCCGTTCCTTCTCCTGCACGTCGAGCCGGAGCCTCGGTTACCCGTTAGGTTCTCCGCGACACTTGGGTCGTTTAAGGGTCTATTTACCAATCTGACTGATCGCTAATTTGAAAGCGAAAGTTTGTAATAGGTGTTTGATATTGTTGCACACAACAGGATGTCGGGCATAGTATTACTGGGTTTCTAAAAAATTCTCAGTTGGAGCACGGAGCCCGGAATTGTGCCCGGAATATGGCAATAGGCCCACCCCCTATTACATGGGACTCATAACATAAAATAGCGAATAGTGGGTTTCAGTGGTTTTCAACAATTCCAGACTGCGAATTTTTTTAAAACCCGGTAGTACTTTCCTCGACCCGGGAACCCGAGACCCCTTGCCCGGCAGTCCCACTTACGACCACTCGGCAACGAGGCAGTATAAACGTAAGAGTTTTATTTAATGCGATTCATTGGTAACCATTAGTCAGATCTTTGAAGATTCGACGCTAAAGTCTAGCTCAATATTATACATCCTGTAGGAAACATCCAGTATAAAACTGTTCCTAAACTTAGTCTGACCTAGTAACGCAATATCCTGGAATGAAAACTAAATCGCGTCACTAGTAAATAAACCGTACAATGTATGGAAGCTTACATGTTATATGCTGCATTTAAAAATGCACTTTGGTATTAGGAGCTTAGAGTGCAATATTCGTCTTTACGTCTTGGATGTGGGAAGTTAGATTTGTTTTAAACTTAGATTGGGGTAACTTGGAACTACATTGTAGATTTTAGTTCAGTGTACCATTACGTGAAGTGGATGAGTTTATATTGATGTCAACCATTAATACATAGTCGCAGAATCTACTTTTATAGCATTCATTATAATATGCCCTGCGAGAATTTTAATATAAATAGGTACCTACACAACTTTAATTCATTTCACCCCGAATTCTCTTTGAGTTTTCGATGGCCCAAATACTTCGAGCCGCTTGGTAAACATGGCGATTATGGCAAAATCCTCGTAAGGAGACCTTTATTTAGTTTAGAACCATGGACGTCTAAGATGGCGAACTTTGGCTCGACTTTACAATCAAATATACCTTCTCAAGAATCACACTAGCAAATTCAACAATAAACCAACATAGACACAACACATATTATTGAAAAAGAGTAACCTATGAAGTTTCTTACTCGTTCTTCTCTATAGGAAACTACACCTTGGAATGAGCAAATAGCTTCACTTTTAAAAGTTTGACTTTGACGCAATGCAAAGTCAAAATACCTTACTGAATAGTGTCGGCAAAACAAAAAGGCAAACATTTAGCTATAAGTCGACAATTAATTAATGAAACATAGCCGCTTTGGTACAAGAAATTCGAATTAACATCATTCCTCGATTAAACACGACATGAGTATAAAATATTTAATATAATTTGCAAATGATTGTGACATCCTTTGCTTTGTAACAACATGTTTAGAATGACGCAAGAGCCCAATCATTTTAATGTTCCACGCCTAAAAGTATAGACTATAGAATTGTCCGCCATATTTTTTTATTACCATCAGTTACGGCGGGAATCTTTGGCTACAATTTTTCAATATACTGACCTCGTATTATTTATATTTATTTTTCCGTGTAGTGATAGGGCCAAGTCAAGACAGTAGGTAGTGTTTCTTACTTTACTTCTTGACCCGAGCCGGAAAAAGGGGTAACAAATAATATTATGGATTTCAAAATTTTTATCGAGTCAATAAATGCACGCGAATTGCAATGACAAATGCCGATAAAAGTAAAGTGGCTTTTAAATGAATTTGCAAGTTACACATCTTCTTAAACTGTCAAACACCAAGCGGTCACCGGTGATCGCGACCTATTGTTCTTTAATTGTGTCTGTAAAACCGGTACTCGACGAGTTAATACTGCATAACAGTAGGTAGTTTTATTTTAAGGTTATTCTGTGCAAATAACTTCTTTGTTTATAAAATACGCCTACCTACGTACTAAGTTATCCAAAGTTTTTTAAGCTTTGGATAACTTAGTACGTAGGTACACAACATTGTGTCAAATTGTGTAACTTCTTAACAAAGTGAGTGACCAATAAGACCCTTCTTAAGTGCTTCGAGATTGAAGTCAAGGACAGAACAACGGGAGGTGGTAATAAAATTTGATGTAGGTACCTACTGTACTATAATTTGTATGTATGTATGTATGTATGTATAAAGCATTTAGTTAAGCTCGTAAAAGTCGTCGGCCGCTCGATTGATGGCTGTGACAAATTTTGCGAAGAATATCAAGCCTGTTGGCCTGTCAGTTATAATAATTGTAGTTTTGCCAACCAGCATATATGACCTCATGGTATTCTAATAGCAGTATTTATTTAACTTCAATATAAACTAATTTCAACTCTTATGATCTTATGATCCGATGCACATTAAATGTACACTCGCAAAGTGAGATTACCGGAGGCCCAATTATCCCCCTCCCTAGTCCCCGTCTCCCGAATCCCCGAATCCTCCACAATCCTCAAATTCCTAATTCCCAAAAGGCCGGTAACGCACTTGTAACACCTTGGTGTTTCGAGTGTCCATGGCTGCCGCCGATTGCTTACCATCAGGTGATCCGTCTGCTAGTTTACCGGCTTATGCTATAAAAAAAGGGAATTTGCTACTTGGAAATGTATTCGCAAAAATGAGTGTGACCTCATGTACCTATTGAGGATTCCCTTATCCTCATCGAATTAAAAATGTAACAGGAATAAGTTGATATTAAGTCTATGCATTATTCGAAGAGTGGTTGTGAAGAAAAATCACAAGCAAGCTCTTTAAAACTGCACTATAAACACAATTTGGTGACAAAACTAACGAATTCTTCTGTTCCAGGTATTTGAAATGCGTGAACGAACATATGCGAGACATCCAGCCATTCGAAGACGTTCCCAAGAAGCTGTCGGTACAGCTGCGCAGAGCTGTCGTGGCCACGCGCACCTTCCACAAGGCGTTGAGAGCCGGCGCTGATGTTGTGAGGAGTATGATGCAGGTAAGAAGCTGAAAGAAACCTTCTGGAAGTTTCTGGACAACTAATAAGAGATGGGTGCTTATTTAGAGCATACTTTAAGCTATTTTTATCGGGAACAGAAAAACGATCTACTACTTTTAGGCGTTTTATCGATAAACAACTACATAATCATACTAAATAGTTATTTTTCAAATTAGTTGTTTATCTTTATTCCGGCTAATAGGGTAGTTTCCTAAGTTTCATTTTAATGTCCGTCTGGTACATTAATTTAAAATTTTAGACACGTATTTTTTTCTTTTCTTACAAAATGAAATACTTTCGACGATATATTAATTTGAAAGAGTATGTGACGTTACAGCGTGTCACATTTTGTAGCACGTTATGACGTAATGGCCTCCCACTCCTAAACTTAGCGCCATTTTATCTAAGTATGCAACTTAATAGGAGAAAATAAAAAATACGTGTTTAATATTTTTCATTATCTGACTGACAGACTAATAAGATTTTTAATTTTGATACCCTGGAAACTACCCAATTATGATAAACAGAATAACGGAAAGCTAGCCCTACAGTGGGGTAGGTCAAAACTGTGTTTACACTCTTTGTGTGCCCACGCAAAACGCTAACTGCGAGCTCTTATTCCTATGAATAAATATGAATGTAAACAATAACAATTCCGCCTACCATTCATGAATAATGGCAGCGAAATTAAGTTTAGAGCCTTGCTATATAATTAGTTTACGAGCTTGTTAATGTCTGTGATTCACCCGACACCCGACAGTGACACCCGGAAGATAGAAGTGACAATACCACACATAAATCACCCATTATCTAACATCTTCCAGCACGTATGGCGCTCGCTCCTTCTATTCTCCGAACTCCTAAAAGGTTCTCAACCTTCAGCACTGATAATTGGACAATCATATTATATCATCGGCGATTAGTTTTCGCGACGTTCTTGGCTTTACTGACCAACTTCGCCAAATCGTGTGCACGTCTTAATTTTTCCAATGTCAACCGCGCTATTAGAATGCAAATATACGCTAATCAATGCGAATATGTATTCTGTTTGGCGCTGACCTTCAACTTGCGGACCGTCTGAGGCGCAGGCTATCATTTTAGAAAATGACTCATTATCCACGCGAATCATTTGCCGAGCGTTGATCCTGGCGCCTTCAGTGACACACCAAGACCTTGGCTTTATTAATTATAATTGTTATCTTGCTCCGTTTGATTTATTTTTATGAGCTTCACTTGTTGCCTTTACGTGAGTTTATTTAATTGGCACAATAGCAACAATCGTTCGGTTTTATTCATGTGTTTGCTTGCCTTTATTAGATCAACGAACTTGTAGATAACGCGGTCCTGTTTGAAGCGTAGATAGGTGCCTACTTATTCTGTACGCCCACAATGTGTGCTGAGGTATCTAGCTATCTTGAAATAGACAGCATCCTTTTGATGTTTTAAAGAGCAGACGTTATTTATAAGTTAGTACGTCAGACCGCAAAATTTGCAAATATTGTTTAGAGCTTTTTTAGTGTTATTGTTTTAGAAATGATGTTTTCTTGTTTATATTCAGGTGCCAGTAACGTCCGAGTGCGTGACGTCATGGGCGCGGCTCCGGTACTGCGGCGGGTGCGCCGGGTATCAGCAACCCGCCTGCACGCGCTATTGTCACAACGTCATCCGCGGCTGTCTGCCCGCACACGCCGATCTCGGAGACCAGTGGGATGCCTATGTCGGTCAGTAAAATCGCTAACTACTACTTACATACATAACAATCATTTTATGTCCCGAACAAGCAGGCGAAATGCATAATCCAGGGTTTTGCTAGATATCCTTTTGATTCCATGTAATAGACAAGATCCAAGAAGACGTCTAATTACTGAGGTTACTGAGGTTCGAAAACCAATAGTAGTTTGCATGATCCGTGGGTCGAACTGAGTAGAATGGAGTTATTAATATTTCTTTTTTAATTTACAGACGCCGTAGATAAAGTGGCCGACCGTTTGCTTGGTCCATTTAACATCGCTATGGTGGTCGAGCCCATAGACATAAAGATATCCGAAGCGATCATGAGCTTCCAGGAGCACAACAGGGAGATATCGCAGAAAATATTCACGGGGTGTGGGAAACCCGTCCTGGGCGGTGGTGGTGGTGCTGGACCGTTCTTTGCACCAGGGAAGACGAAACGATCCGTACGAGCCATACCTGACTTCGACTGGCCACAAAGAGTCGATGACGTTGACGATTTCGAAATAGAAGCTTCATTCGAGAGCATTGTGAACGAGGATCCGTCATTAGCAAGCTTACGGACTCCGGAAGGCATCCGAAAAGCTACGGAGGAGATGGCGGAACAAGCGAAGTCTCGAGAGAGGTTCTTACAGTACATGAGGGGTAATATCGACCTTGAGGAGTATGAGGAACATGAGAGGAAGCGTCGGGACGCCGACCCAGAGCCCGCTGCCGCTGGAAACATGGATATCGATTTCAAGTCGTACGATTTCGATGAGAAGAAGGGACCTAAGAAGAAGAAGCCTTCGGCTAAAAGCGAAGAGAGTCGCGGTAAGTTTGTAAACAACTGATAGTACTAATTATTAAGTTCTCCCCGTTTAAATAAAGGACAAATTAAAATAAGAAGCGTGCAAGAAAAATTAAAAGTACTTAAATGATATTTATACTTAATTTTAACGACACAACAAATAACACTTAAATTATTTTCTCCTCACAGGGTCAGATTGGGGTGGACCCGCGCTAGAGAAACTCGTCCGTGAGACTCGAGTGCGCATGCGCAACACGCGTCGCTACTGGAACCATCTCCCCGCACTACTCTGCACCTCCACCAGTGTTACCAGCTCACCTTGCTTCAATGGAACTGATGTTGCCAGGTAATAATAGCGATGATACTTATGAGGTTAATTTAAAAAATGGTTGATAAAAAGACGTGAATTGTATAGTGACCCTATGATTAAAAACTACAAATAAGAGATTTTGTTATATAAATATGGCGCCCAACATGGGACCAAATTAAGATACCTATTTCTTTACTAATCACTTTATTTTAAAAAAGAAATTAGGCAAACATCGATCTTAGATACTACACATATGGACATATTTTAAATATTTATTGCTATTTCAATTACAGCTACACTCTAAACGCAGCCAGTGAAGGTACAGCGGGTTTAGCTAGCAACCCCGAAGTGCGAGGTGTTGCCAGCCCTATCGCGGTCGCCAGTGTTGCCACGCAAGGAGATTCTCTACGGACTTTAACCGCTCGACTTAAGGACGCTTACAATGGAGTCGAAGTTCAGTGGCTTGATACCGATGGCAAGGGTAAGTTGATAATCTTCTACGCCGAGTATGGAGAGCCATGCTTCGGTACGAATGGGCCGACTCGACCGGAGTGATACCACGGCCTTACAGAAAACTGACATGAAACAACGCTTGTGTTGTATTTCGTCACGTGAGTGAGGTTACTGGAGACCCAATTACCCCCCTCCCAATCTCCCCAATCCCTGAATACGCAACAATCCTGAAATTCCTAATCTCCAAAAGACCGGTAATGCACTTGTAACACCTCTGGTGATCTGGATGTCCATGGGCAACGCCGATTGCTAACCATCAGATGATCCGTCTGCTCGTTTACCGGCTTTTCAGATACATTTTTACCAACTGTGGAACTTGGCTACTATAGACTTACACGCAGAATATACACACGAAGGGTATCTGTCATTTTCTTAAGCCTGGTAACGTGGTAACCCATTACACACACATACACAAATAACCATAGACATCGGCCTTTTTTCCGACGCCGACGATAAAACTTTGATATAGTGGTCGAGATGAACCACAGTGTTGACACAAGTTATGTCCACTAATTGAATGTAATTGTTATCTTGCAGACTTACAAGTGGCCAACTCTTTCGGTCGCGAGATCTTGGAGGACGTGGAGTCTGGCTCCGGGTCTGGGGATTGGGGCACCAGCGACGGACTGCCTGATGATGACGAGGACAGGCTTAATGGATACGATACTGGTATGTATTTTAAGGGTTCTTTATTATTATCTGATGATTTTTGTAAGAGGTTCTATGTCCAAAGGGTGGAAATGAAGTAGTTAAAGTAGTATTGTCAAAAGGTTTTACATTGTTAAAGATATAAATACCTATTTAAACTTTCAAACACGGCGAGGAAACCGGTGACCGCAACCTATTGTTCTTTAATTGTGTCTATAATGACGGTACTCAAAGGGTTAAGCAGCAAAAATGACTTCGCACAATTATTTTCTATCATGATCTTTTTTATGTTGATAACTGAAGTAGATTACAACAAAATGCTGCCTCCAAAAACATTTTTTCAACTTATAACCCTCATTTCCAGGTTCAGGCGACAGTCCACCTGACGCGGAAGACGAGCAAACCGAACGCGAACCCGAAGTGATGTCACCACAACCTCGACCAGTGACTGAAGCACCGATCATACCATCCATCATAGACTCGCCTGCCACTAACAACGTCAATGTACGCGGCCGAGTCGGACCAGACACGGACGTGGGTATAGTTATACCACCTCAAACTGACACGGGCGACACTCCAGAGATCCCTGATACATCTGATAGAGACAGTGAAGTGCCGCGTCCTCCTCCTCAAGATATACCTACAAGGGAACAGCCAGTCGCCGGCGGCGCAGACAGCCCGGCCTTACAACGAGCACTCATCACGTACGCACTGCCCGTCGTCTGCGCCTGGTTCGGTACCATAGTCACCGACCTCTTCTAAAGTCTCTTCTAGTAATGAACGTGTATAGGAATCGTGTGGTTTGTATATAGCCTAGTCAGTGAGCGACCCAGGGAAGCTACAGCGCACTCGCGCTACTGTGATATTGTGGACTCGGCAAGTTACGGAACGTTACAACACGGACAATGACATTCAACAAATTTATACACAGTGCGTTGTGTAGTGAATTAATTTATTTTTGTTTCAAATAATTCCGTTACATTTCCGTACAACCCTTTTGAAAAGTGAACGACAATAAATGGGGAGTATTTTTTTAATCTGGCAATTAAATATTATGGCATTATATATTTTTAATTTAGCTAAAATTGAAATCAGCCAAATTATGTATTTATTAAATGATCTTTTTTCGTGTAAATAAAGTGTAAATTATACCGCGGTAGATAGTGAATGTATGTTTTATTTTACTAGTATATAAGTATGTCTGTACGATGCTGTATAGTCTGTGGGTTGGCGCCAAAAATGTTTGCTGTAAAATTTTGTTTTAATGAATTTTACAACCCTTTTATTTTCATTTTCTTATTATTTATTCATCAATGAAGTTCACACAACTAAACTAAATTGAATTTAAAAAAATCTAATCCTAATTTTCAGAGAACTCATATATTTTGGCACTTAACCACAGACTATAAAAAACTAAAAAAAAAACATGTCTAAAAATGTACATAAAACTTAGTCATAATTTGTATAAGTAAGTTTATAGACTGATTTGCTTTCGATTTATATTTTACACGCAAATTATAATAATATTATTTCATTCGGACTAAGATAAATACTAATCATTTAACCGACTGATATAATGATTATTTCGATTTTATTATTACATAATATGTATTCATATTTTAATTTTAATAATAATATTTTTTCGTTAAAATATTTATCTACGATTTTGGCTTCAGCTTTACTTTGCTAAGTATAGAATTTAATTTGCAATTTCGTGTCGCAGGCAAAGTTATAATTAAGGCAAATGGTTAAGCGTCTGACAGATTGCAAATTGAATATTTTTTACACGTAGATAAGTGACACCAGTGTATAATATTCTAAGTGTTATTTCTTTTTATACGTAATGTGGCGTCGTGTATGTAAACATGTCATATAAGTCGCAGCTTAAGAGATACATTCATGTAATTCCCTATAATTGATATTTTTGTTAAAATTTTCTTCTTAAACACTTGGAATTGATGTTTTGGATGTAGCTGTTGGATAAAAATCTAAGTCATATTGTCTGTTTGGTACATTTTAGTATAAGACAGCTGCGACAATAACACGCACAATTATTTTTAATATTGGAACAAGCAGAGGAAGGTACTGTGTAACAAATAATCAAATAGAAAGTGTACAATTTTACACGTTTTCAACTAATTTGAAATAATAAAAAATATATTTTGAAAATTTCGTTTTTGATTTGGCGATTTTCATTCACACCTTCCTTTGTGCTTTTGATGAAGTTTGACTTCGACCCGTAGACGTGTAGAACGTTTGTTTTAAAGTAATTGTCGGCAAGAGGATGCACGCATTTACCGAGCATATAGTATTGCTAAGAAACAATTCAATAGAAAATTTATGCAACACGTATTTTATACCCTTAACTATAAAGTACATAATAAAAGGACATCATAAATCGTATACCAAGAGTACGGGGACCAAGCTATATGGTATCGCTATGTGCCATCTATTTAAGAATTATTTAGCGCACAAATGGAATGTACACCACGCTAAACGGCCCGTGTTTTATTTCTATTTATATGTACGTATGGCAGTGAGTTCCGAGACGCAGTTTGAATATTTTATATAGAACAATAATGTACTTATTTGTACCAGGAATAAAATATTCTATTCAGAGTTGTTTTCAATTTAATTCCCGAATTATAGACTAAACTAAGTCGAATAATTTTAATTTTTAACATAATCAGTTAGTCAGATCAGTCAAGGAAATTTGCGCTTTTTTTAATCTATTTAAAATACTGGAACTGTCGGTCTCATTAATGTAAATAATCATATTTAACATTTATTAGATAATGGAATCTTTAAAGACCTTTTGCTCAGTTTGCCTCATTGGCGGTTGAATGCACACGCATCGCTACGACCGATAGAAAGTGACATTAACGAATTCTTAATACGGTAATATGCAAATGTACATTCGTAGGCCAGAAGTAAAGAACTGATATATTAAACAAGGGTTTTATAGCGACCGGAAAGCGTAAACTTCAGTTTGTATCAACCGCCAGTGAAGCAGACCGTACTAAATGTTGCTAGAAAGTTGTAGTTTTTTTATACGGTGTAATGAAATATTGTGTAACAGGGTACCGATATGAATAATTGCATGTATCTATTATACGTATAAAGAACTCATTATGAACTGCGATTTTATGTATTAATCAATGCTACTAACGATTATTTCCGCGGACATGATTGGCCGTGCGTGAAAACGAATGTCAAGAAAAAAGTCGAACGAAAAACTGAATTGAATCCACAGACAGGTACGATTTGTAACAAAAACGTCATGAAAAATGTAAGCACATCGATATGATTGTGTAAAAGCAAAAGTAAAGTAATTATTGTTTTATCCAATAAAATTAGCGGAATGAGGAATGGTTTTATTATTAGTTATTTCATCGTATTTATTTATTATCCGTATAGTAATTCTACTTCCGTTCTAGACGTTTCATGAAAATACAATTTGTTTGGAGTGTCTGTTACATGGTACATAATTAATTATACACAAAAACAAAAACCATGTCTGCGGTCTTTAGCGTTTGGAACACCATAACATTTTAATTATTTAAAACAATGTAAATTGCGAAAGTTTCATCACTATCATTGTTATTTAAACCACCTACATTTGAGCGCCACCAGGATTACTTTCAAAGACGTGCACATCTTATCAAATCAAGTTTATCAAGGAGATCTTTCAAGATATCTATTAAAAACCAGTCCAATCCTAAAGTATGTCGCGGAGAACCTAACGGGTTACCGGGGCTCCGGCTCGAAACGCAGGAGTAGGAACGGGGTGGTTTTTAGTCAGTAAGAGTCTGACACTCCCTCCCGCTTCACATAGGCGGGAGAAGTCATACGATGATTTTCACCTTAAAAAAATCTTAATGTATCCGAAGTTGCGGACGACCTAGCTGGTTTCCGGGGCTCCGACTCAAAACAAGAGTGGGAACAGGTGTTAGTCAGTCTGAGACTCACTTTCGCCTCTCTCAGCGCGGGTGAAGTCATTTGTTGGTTTTCCCAATTCTTATTGAATCCAAGTTATACATTATTTAATGTTATACAGTTTTCATGAACTCTATTCCACCAATCAAATCCTTTTGTTTGAAATCCATAGTGGAAAAAGTTAGGTCAGTTAGTTAAGTCTCAACACAAATATGTTAATGAACATTGACAGATTTTCAGCTTTATTACAAAGGTATAAGGTTGAAAAATCTGAAAAGATTTCCGATATGAGATGTTCCTCCTTGAAAATAATCGTAATGGTGCCCATGGACAACGGTGACAGAAAAAAAGTTATTAAAGTATGGTATTTATTATACAATATTTAAATTGAAATAATTGGGTAGTTTCCAGGGTATCAAAATTAAAAATCTAATTAGTCCGACGGTTAGATAACGAAAAAATATTAGACACGTACTTTTTTATTTTCTCATATTATGTGGCATTTTATAAAATGGCGCTAAGTTTAGGACTGGGAGGTCGTTACGTCATAACGTGCCACAAAGTGTGACACGCTGTGACGTCACACGATATTTCAAATTAATATATAGTCGAAAGTATTTTATTTTGTGAAAAAAGAAAAAATACGTGTCTAAATTTCTAATGAAATGTACCAGACGGACATTAAAATAATATATAGGAAACTACCCTATTGTATGTATATTTGAAATCATATCGGACTTTTGTAATGGAAGTGAGTTTTTAATGAATTTTTCAAATCGATGGAAAGAATTGGACATTCTGCTACATTCTTTCTACAGTATTGAAAATTCATAATATAGCATATTTAATGGAAAAATTTGTGTCTGATGATTTTATTTAGAAAAGGTGCTATGTTCACGGTTAGCATAATATAATAGTGTTTTTCCATTAGATATGCGATCTAGGTACCTGTATACGTAATGATTGAGCTACAGTCGGGTGTTGTTTAAATATTATTTAAAGAAAAAGTATCATAAAACTTATTTTCAAATTTAAACTGATGCTCACAAGGTATATTTTCCAGTAAATTAGTATAATTACTTTTTATAGAAAAAAATAGTAATTAATGTAATATCTTTATATATATAATTATTCTGTGAGTGTGTATGTCACTGAACTTCTCTCAAACGACTGGATCGATTTTGAGGAAATTTTTTGTGTGTGTTCAAGGGGATCTGGGAATCGTTTAGATTCACGCGCGGCAGATGGCGCTGCAGTCGGTATCTAGGTTATTTATCTATACCTATTATTATATTATATGCAGGACGTCTGTCGGGTCCGCTAGTTTATTGTAATTCTATTTAAATAATACCCAACTGTCTCGCAGAGAATAGTGAAATGTGAGTTAGTATGAGTGTATGTAGACTAATGTTTTTATAAAGATATATTATTGAGTAGATTTAATACCTGTACATATAATAAAACTGATAACACGTGTATAAAGGATCTTTTATTTCATTTACCATTCAAATTCATACCTTACATTCCAGAAATAAGACCGATTTCCGTTAAACGATATTAATAGTCCATTTAAGTAGTTATTGTGGAAATGAAAGTCGTTTATTGGTAATAAAAAATGTTTTATTCTTTATATCTAACCGTTAATTACAAATAGAATAGGAAAATGAATCTAAACACGTATACAATAAGTAGCAGTTTAGACTAACAGTAAATCTGTAGATTAAAACAAATAGACATATAAGAGCTTATAAAAATATCAAATTATACTTATTTCAAATCACAGTACACTCGACTTTCAACCTTAAATGCTTAAAAATAAGATTCATTTTAGCTTAATCACTATCAGAATCGCTTTCGGAATTGCTATCTGAGCCGGACTCTTCATCTTCGGAGTCTGATCCGAGCCAGTCAGGTAGTGAAGGCTGTTCTATTAACGTCTTCCATTCATTTAGTTTATGTAAATCTGGAAAGAGAAAAATAATAATTAGATTCTAGTTTTATGCTATACTAGCTTCTGCCCGCGACTTCGTACGCGCAATCCCGTTTTCTCCCGTTCCCGTAGGATTTTCAGGACTTTTTCTGTCTTAAGAACCTTCTCCTAATAATAACGAATGTGAGATATAGTATATGATATAGTAAAATGATAATCCCCAAGTGGTCACCCGTGAGCGCTCTCCACTAACTCATTATAGACCTTATTTCTGATGTTTAGAAGTCTAGTTAGTCTGTTAAGAAAATTATACAAAGGTTGTCACTTTTGTATAAATTTTGGTCATTTATATAAAGTGAATAAAATATACAGCACAAAAATACTCAAGACATAAAAGAAAATATTTCAACTCACTTGAAATTTAAAATTTCTGCTTTTAGTAATATGTCAGTCAGTCTATCTGGTTTCTGACAGTCACAGTTAAAAAAAAGGGAATTCGTTACAGACATTCTAAAAAGAGGTCTAATATTGAACCAGTTCTCAGTAAAATGAAATACGTACGTATTCGCACGAATACGGACGTATCCAAACTACCGTTGGTATTGAAAACCAGACGTAAAGAGGTATTATCAGCTAGAAGATCACATTACATCATCACACCTTTTAGCCCCGAAGGAGTAGGCAGAGGTGCAAATTACAGCACTTAATGCCACTGTACAATGTAACACCCACTTTTCACTATTTATGTTATGAGTCCCATGTAATACGGTAAGCCTATTGCCATATATAGGGCACATGTCCTGACTCCGTGCTACTACTGAGAATTACACAACTAGAGGATATGCTATGTATAAAGAACTCTTTCAAAGGTTAAGGAGTTTGCCGATAAAAAATAAATATAATAAGAAAATCTCACCTAAACTATACATATCAGACAGATAGAACTGTTTGTCATCTTTTTCTAGTACTCCTCCGTAAACGTATAGCGTGGCGCGTTGCACCGCCATCATGGCGGACATGCGGGGGCCAGGGCCGGACTTGGGGCCCACTGAGGCCGCCGCCAGGGGCCCGGTCACAGGTACCGCGGCACCACCCAACTTCATTGTGAACACTTCGTCGGTTACCACTGAAAATTAAGAGAAGTTTTATAAGTTAAATCGGCGTCGCCCATGGACAACCGAAACACCAGAGGCGTTACAAATGCGTAACTGGCGTTTTGGGAATTTAAGAATTGTGGGGTATTCGGGGTTTGGGGAAAGTGGGGGGGGGGGTAATTGGTAAAACTAAAAAGTTTATTAAGTCTTATACAAGACTACTTAAGAAATTTCATATCTCATCCTCCTTCTACATAAGATAACATAAGTGGTTAAAATTGGGTATTACATTGTATATAAATATTTATGAGCACCTCTGGTTGGGGGATTAAAAGGATGATATTGCTATGTAATAAATAATATATAAGAAGATAATTAATGACAAAAAATCTACAAGTACAATACCTGTAACAGTCTCCTCTTCCTTTTGCGCCGGTTCCTCCTCCTTGACAACTGGCTTGGCCCCGAGTTGTTCCGACCGTAATGTAACAATGTGCCACTTGCCAGTCTCCACGTCCAGCAGTTGCAGGTCATCACTCATCTCGCCACGGAGCTCTTCCTCTGTTTCTTCTACATCCTGGAATAAATTAATAATATATTATTTAATATTTTTTTGATATCTTAGTTGTCGTTGTATTGGTGAACATTAATTGGAATTTGATTTGGAGTTGTGCTATTTTCTTTTAAATTAAAACATCGATTCAGTATTTTTCTTGTAAACAGCAACATCACACAAATACAGTGAATAAAATAATTAACAACTCTATTTTCTAATAAATCAATATTAAAGTAGTTGAAAAAATTTTTTGATACACTTCTTACTTCAAATTACAAATTATATATCACTAAGTTTAACAGAAACTAATAAAAAATTACTGTACACAGATCGTAGGTAAAATTGACAAGACACTTACACTGATTCCTCCAAACACATATCCCCTGTTGCTGTGTGGGTTGACGGCGGCGGCCTGTCCGGCCCGCGCGGGCGGCGCGGCGGGGCCCCCCGCGGCCAGGCCCCGCCACGCCCACCCGCCGCCCTCTCTGTGCGACAGACGGAACAGGTCCGTGTGAGTCTGAGTACGCTCTGAACGACCCTCGCGGACACGGGAGAAACCGCCGTAGATTAGCAGCTGTGAAATATAAATAAATGTTATTCATTCGTCTTCGTTTAAACAGAAGATAGTTTTTTTGTAATTCTTTGAGAATAGTCAGGTTCACAATAGTTACACTTTAATTAAATTAAGTGTCTTTAGCTAGACTACTGCCCAAAAAATATCGGTCTTGATACCGATATTCTTCATTTTCAAAAGTTTGATATAGCAGTAATTTTCTTTTCTTCCTTTCTTTTTCTTTTTGTAGAAATACATTGCCCCACACTAGGATTTTCTCCTGTGTCGTGGGTGTGTTTACAAACATACAAGTTCACATACACATGACACCCAGACCCGGAACAACGATCTGTCGATTAAACAAAGAGTTGTTCCGTGCGGGAATCGAACCCGCAACACGTTGCGTGGCAGTCAGTTGGCCAACCACCGTGCTAACCGTGCAGTCTTTTTGAATTTACTCTTGGAAAAAGAAAAAGAAAAGAACATTATAGAAAAAGTTACTTAAACAAAATGCTTTCTATCAGTACAAAACTTACCGAATCACTCCCAGCAGGCAACATGACACAAGCAGACCTAGCAGTAGGTCCTCTGCCACTAGGAGTCAATTTACTCCAGGTCCTGGTGTCGAGGGAGAACGAGTACACATCGTCAAAGTACCGACACTCGCGGCCGTCGTCCGCGTACCCACCGAACACGATGATGTTACGGCCGAGGAGCACCATGCGGTGACCTGAACGAGAACTCGGTCCGTTTGGTGCGACCACCTGATGGATAGAGAAAGGAATATATTTTCAGTGTTGATATTATACTTATAGAACACATTTTTTGTAATGTTGGGGCTTACTCTTGAATCCAATTCCGATCGATCGACGTATTTATTGTGAAATTTTGTACTCTTGAGTACAAAAGTCAAAGTCAAAATCATTTATTTCAATTAGACCAGGATGGCACTTTTGAACGTCAAATAACAAAAATTTAGAAGTGAAGCTAGTTGCTCATTTCAATGCGTAGATTCCTATGGAGAAGAACGAGCAAGAAACTCCATAGGTTACTCTTTTTCTTTTTCAATCAGGTTTACAATACAATTCTCTGTGCACAATGCATTGTATTCGTATTGCGTGGATATGAACACTGGATGAATGGTATTGAGTTTGGATTTATATTCTGTACTCTGAATTCTATTTCAATAGCTACAATATGGGTTGTATAATCATGACAATTCGTGATGAAAGCCAAAGTCATAGTAAAGAACTCAACCAATTGCAATGCAACTTGGTAAGTCGGAACAAAATATTGTTGGTAAGTAATAGGGTAGACGACTAATTTTTATTTTAATGTCCGTCTGATAGATTATTTAAAAACATTAGACACGTATTTTTTATTTTCTCACAGAAACGAATAGTTTCGAAGATATATTGACTTGAAATGTCGCGTGACGTCACTTCTCAGTACATTTTATACTAAGAAATGACGTTTTAGCCCCCACTCCTAAACTTTGATTCGTTTTATCTAAGTATTGTTTTATTATATGATAAAATAAAAAAATACGTGTCTAATATTTTTTCATTACCCATTGTCTAAATCCTTACTTCCTTACTTATACTTACTTATATTATAAATCGGAAAGTGAGTTTGTTTGTTTGTTTGTTCTGCCTTCACGCCGTAACTACTAGACCGATTGCTTTGAAATTTTGCAGACGTAAAGTTAGAAGTCTGGATTAAATAATAGAGTACTTTTTATCCCGGAAAAATTGATATTTCCTAGGAAAAACAAAAATATTGGTATAGATGGCTCTGTATGTACTGGTATAGACGGCGTTGTATGTCATTTAAAACCAGTCAACGAAATACCTACTTATTGGAAAAATGTAAATAGCGCGATATAACCGAATTCCACGCGACCGGAAAGCTATTTGTTTGTTTGCCTGTGTTAAACGGCAGAACGGAGGTACTAATTAACGTGATTTTTTAACTGAAGGTAGTTGAACGGATGGATAGTAACATAGGCTACTTTTTATCCTTTTGCGACGCGAGCGAAGCTGCGGGTAAAAGCTAGTAACAAATAATTTAGTTGTATCTGTGCAGTGTACTTGTGCTGTATAATGGCTGTGATATTATTGAAAAAATCATAAACAAAATGTACCTTCTCCCATTTCTTCTCAGCCAGTGAGAAACACCAGAGGTCCTTGTAATGATGGAACTGTGTTTCTGAAGGACTCGTGAACTCCCCACCAAACACCCACAGTTCACCCCTGAGGAATAAATGTTGTAGGTATAGGTTACATTTGACACAGTTATTTTTATATAGATAATATAAATATTAAATAGAAACGTACAGTTGCAGAAGGACTACGGAGATAATGTAAATTACTCTACAAAAATTTTCTGTTCATTCCATAAATCAGAGTCTCTTAATTCCTTGTTGAAATAAAAATAAATCACATTAATATTATAAATGTGAAAGTTTTTTTGTTTAGATGTTTGTCCGTCAATCCTGATACTACTAAACGGATTTTCATGACATTTTGTATTCAGGCAGAATATGAGCTGACTTAGGTGATAGAATATTTTCAAATTAGGTGATAGGAGACTTTTTATATTGAATAAACACTCTCATGGGATAAAACAGGAATCATATTCTATTCAGGTGAAGTCGCGGGCAATAGCTAGTGTCATTAAGGTGTGTTGTCAACGCACAACTAAAAATACAAAATATCAAAACAAACCTCTTCAAAAATTTACTAAAACTTCATAAGAATAAATAATGACATACTTATTAGCAGGAGTAGCGATGGCCTGATGCGCTGATCTAGGTGGGGGAGCTCCGGGGGCCTTCAGCATCTTCCACGAGTTGTTTGTGGGGTTGTAGAACAGCAGCTCATTGTACACCTCAGTCTGTAACAAAGAAATAAATATTTAATAAAATTGGGTTTAAAGTTTAAAGGAGACAGCCTCGTTGGCCGAGTGGTCGTAAGTGCGATTGCCGGGTAAGGGGTCTTGGGTTCGATTCCCGAGTCGGGCTAAGTATGACTGGGTTTTTTAAATATTCTCAGTAGTAGCACGGAGTCTGGAAATGTGCCCAGTATATGGCAATAGACTCACCCCCTATTACATGGGACTCATGACATAAATAGTGGAAAGTGGTTGTTACATTGTTTTGAAGTGACAATTTACATTGTTTTGAAGTGTAATCTATATATATATATAAATGAAACCCGTTTCCCGTTGTCACGCCATAACTTGAGAACGGCTAGACCGATTTAGGTGATTTTTTTATCGTCATGACAGAAAAAGGTCCTGAAAACCCTACGGGAATGGGAGAAACGGGATTGCGCGTACGAAGTCGCGGGCAGAAGCTAGTAATTTATAAAAGTCTATATACATACATACTTTTAAACTTATGAACTGAACTTTTTAGAAGAGCTGCAGTTATACAAGGTTGCAGTAGATGTAAAAAATGCTAGCTTCAGTACTACTAACTTATTATTAACTAGCTTTTACCCGCGGCTTCGCTCGCGCACAAAAGGATAAAAGTAGCCTATGTGACATATACGAATACACACAGCGCCATCTATACCAATTCTTTTGTTTTCCCTCGGGAAAATCAAAATTTTCCGGGATAAAAAAATACCCTATTATTTGATCCGGACATCCGGACAAAAATTCAAAGCAATCGGTTTAGAAGTTACGGCGTGAAAGCGGAATAAACAAACTCACTTTCCGATTTATAATATTAGTAAGGATATTCAATATTATTTCTCCACCGACTCTTGGTCCGTTCCCCTAACATACAAATACATTTTCATTATAGTATAGTTTGTATTTCAACTCACCTTTTGTCCATTATGATATTCACCTCCGAACAAGATGAGTTCATTACTAGTAGGATGTGGTGTGAGTGTGGCATAAGCCCTCGGTGACGGAGGACCTGGCAGAGCCTTCTCCGTAGCTGCGGACCTCTTTGCTTCCTCGCGTTCAATCTCTGCTATTACTTTAGCAATATCTTCCTGAAAAATAAGAGGACATGGTAAAAAATCATGTCAGTCTCCACTCTCCATTGATTGACATTCTGTTGGCAGTTCAAACACTGAAGTTAGGGGCCGTCAATTTATCATGTGAGGTTTTTTAAGCATTTTAGCACACACATAATACAAGTGGGTTTATATTTTATAGGTATTACAAGTACCTAATTTGGTTAACTGATCAATCAAGCTGTCACCGCTGACCACTTTCCATTAACTCCATTATAAACCTTATTTCCCATATCTAGAGACTACTTCTGTATGAACAAATTGTGAGGATTTATATCAAGCGATTAACATTTTAGAATCATAATAGTAACACTATAGCGCTAGTATGTGGAATAAATACCACACTACATCCCATTTTAAAATGCTATGTCAGGTGAAAAAATAAATACACAATATTTTGTTAAGCCCGGTGGGGACCGGGCCCATGACGCAAAACCCCATGAGGAGGGGGGGGGGGGCACATGGTGTTTTGTGATTTTTTTCTGGTAATTAAGCCTGATGTGATCAATGGACGACCCATAGTTTACCATATTAATTATTTGCAGACGAATCTGACGCAATAAAAATACCATAATTATCAAATCACATCACTTTCATGCATCTATAGTGTAACGGGTGGTCTGCACTTTGTACGCAGATAGATAAATAGACCATTAAATACTAGAAGTATATTATTTAAATATAAATTAAATTATTAGTTATATTTCGAACCAAATAAATATCATGTGGAGATATGATTTGCAATATTTTTTAAGTAGTTTAAGACATCATCTCTCCACATGTTATTTATTTATTTTAGTGTATGTTATTTAACAACATATTAAACATGCTTGATCCTGATAACAAGAACTACTTTTATAGTTTTCATATGTACTCTTACAGTGTATGTTTCAATTTAATGAAATAATTTAAATTAATAAATAAGTTTCATTTACTAACCTCTCCTAAATTAGCCAATTCCTTCTTCAACCTATTAGCAAGCTTCTTCTCAGTTTTAGCTGCGGTTTTCACAGCACCGCTGACCTTATTCTTGTTCTTCTTTTTGCCCATTTTAATAGAAAATTAATATAAACAATTCAAAACAATGTTCCACCAAGGGTTGCGGCTCTTTATTGACAGAACGGCATTTGTGTATTTTATAGGTTATGACCATAGATTACAGTTTGAGGCGTTCGAAAACCACAACATTTTCCGATATCTTTTTACGTACATATTTCATTTTTAAATTAAATTACATTAGATATTAAAAAAGAGAGAAAGGGTAATTTAATTTATTAATCATCACTATATAAGGAAACATATATATTTAAGCTTTATCAAAAAATAAGATTAAAAAGTAGAAAATAATTTAATTGAAATTAATAAAGTTAAATAATAAAATGAAATAAATATTTTTGGAGTAAGTTATTATTTATTTCGTTAAATTTAAATAATACAATTCACTAAATTTTAAACCAAAACTAATTTAAAAATATGCATATTAAAAATCTTTTTGCAGAATTCAAAGAGTTCTGACCACAGACATACAAAGAGAATCAGACAAAACATATATAATGTAAGCTATTTGTGTAGCCAAAAAACACACATGCGCGAAATAACTTAAACGGGGCCGGACTGAGGTCGCATTAGAAATAAAGGATATTATATTAGGTATCTACATAGAAATAAGCGTATTTTTGGGATAAATAGTCAATATTTACAAATGCTGAATAAATATTCATTTACTTTACTTTTTATTTTTAAATGTTACCGGAAATGTGAGAATGAGAAGCCTATAAAATTTATATAACCCTGAAACTAGGTTCTTAGGAAATGTATAAAATATAGTTTTACCAATTATTTACTACTTGTATGTATTTAATAATTTTAATATCCTCATAATATACAAAATGAACAAAGGATTGCTATTGATATAGAAAAAGAACAAAGGATTGCTATTGACATAGAAAAAGAACAAATAAAACATGTTCAAGGGAGAATAATGTTTTTTATTAAGGAACTTGTTATGGTTAAGAATATCAATTAATAAGTCATCTCCCTCCCCTCAATACTACTGACCACTCCCAAGACAAGTTCTTTTCTACTACTAAGCATCTCATGCATTTGATTATATTCTTTGAGGATAATAGGCAATTGTGATAAAATTGATAAAGACATACAATCGTGGTAACTATTACAAATGTAACAACTATGTATTATTGTAAAAACAAGTCTGTTAGATTATTTAACTTTGTAGTAACTATATATTACTCAATATGAAAACAATAGATTTATTAGCCTAACCTTTCGAAATTATAAATCCGTCTTCTGTTGATTCTACAAGTACTTGAGCTTAAGATGAATGAGTTGATTTTATTTATTTACTATTTTTGTTCATTACATTCTAAGTAAACTTATAAGGCTTCGTTGTAAATGATTACACATCATCAAAATAGTTGATTTATTTCAAAAAATGAACAATTTGTTTTAGTCTACAACAGCGTAAATAAAAACTTACTGATGAACGGTTATTTCAGGATTTCCAGGTATCCAGCTATTGCTGTTACATCATCAAACTGGCTTCATGTCAAAATTTGTCTACGTGTGGAGCAGTGCGACTACAGGTAAAAGAACGAGACGCAATTATTAGATTGGTGCTTGACAGAACAAGTACAATGAATTTTTTTTTAATATTTATGTATACATTTTTATTTAAATATCATAATTTATATAACTACATAAATATTTACAACTTAAAATTAACTACAACTAAACTATTAAATAAAAAGAAAGTAAAAGAAAACAACAAATATTATACCCTTAATTTAGGCGTCAAAGTATTCGTCCGCATCACATCACAGGGGAAAGTTCCCAGAAGACTGGCAGCATTGCCACGTTGAATGGTAATGCTTATTTTCTGTCCGAAGAAAAAGCCAGCCCTCTGGTCACGTGTAGAGTCGATTAGCCTACGGGCGATGCCTTTAAACACAGAGTGTGCACTGGGACCCCATGGCCCAAGTGTTTCGACCCCAAATGGCTCAAAACAGTAGTTACCCACTAGATTTGAATATTTACGCCGTTTGAGGGCCTCTGCCGCGGAAGCAGCTGCACCAACGCATGCAGCGGTGCTTAAAAGATGTGATGGCGCAAGGGTGTCTACACACGTCGCGTCCCACACCAAAGGCCTACCCATCTTCCAAGGCAGCAACGACATACCATCTGGTCTTTTGCCGTCATCACGTACCAAACCATTAGGTTCTAATACGGCTGGTACACCGGCTGAGGCAAGAGCACGACGAATGATGTCGTTGATGCTGGCATGGCAAGATATGCGGCCTGCACTTCTGCAACAAGAAATGATAGATATCATATACGTATAACTAGGAATTAATGTTTGGTCTGCTTATTGTATTTGTAAGTCTATGAAGCTAGTATATATAACTATTGGCAACACCAAAGAGTAAAATAAGTATAGGGGGGCAACACTCAACACTACTTGACTTGACACTGTCGAGTCAGTCAATGTCGTCTGTCAGTTAGTTGAAAAATCTCATAAGGAAGGACAGGGACAGTATTTTTTAGGTGCCATCAAAACTTGCGCTCCAAGTAAAATAAGTAATTTAATTAAGCTCAAATAATGTGTAATATATAAGAACAACCGTACTTTATTTATTTTCTAATTTCTGGTGACGTGAAAACTAGTTGGCAAAACAAAATGACGTCGCCTGGGCCTTCGGTACGTAACTGTGCATCTGTTTACAATCTACGTATTTAGAAACAGTTCTTATTATAGTTACATTGTCCTTTCTGTGCTTGTTTAATCTAAAATTAGAAGCTATTAGACGATGTTTAATGCAAATTTTCCTAAACAGCTGTTGATCTGTAAACTTGTGTGGTCTTACCAATATATCCCATTGATTTCGTCACTGTTATGTTATTATTTCTTTTTTCAGAATTCCTTCCAGCAATCATCAGCTGCAGCGTCTGTCCAAGAGTTCAAGATCCGTGTGCCAAAAAATGTGAAGAAAAAATATCATGTGATGCGGTTTAATGCCACCTTGAACGTGGACTTCGCCAAATGGACGCACGTGAAGATGGAACGTGAGAATAACATCAAGGAGTTTAAGGGACTTGATGAGGATATGCCTAAGTAAGTTTGTATTAAGATAATAGAGGATATATTTCCACTATGGGCCAATGAGTTCAAAGAAGTTTCTGCATACATTGAATTTATCGAAAAAAAACCTCGCGATTTCCGAAATACGTTACGTAGTTGTAGTAAGTATTATAGAAGCGAAATTTAGGGCACCCTGACTTCGACAGGTTTACTTATCCTGTCGAAGTCAGATGAAAAAGATACTATGAAGGCGAAGGCTAAGATATAGATATCTAAGCCTTAGTGAATTTTTTTCTTAAACAACCCAGAAATAAGAGCCCTGTTAAGTGGAACTCTGTCGACCATCTTGACAGGTACGGTAGTGGTTGTAAACTTGATTTACATAAGAATCACATTATTCCTAGTTTTTTTATTACTGTCTGGTAAATACCTGCCCTAACCTCAAAATTGCGACCATGGATGTCTCCATAACCATGGGGTTTTGAGAATGGTATAATGGTTAGGTAGCTTTCTTTCACTCTTGTTCTCACCTTCCCTTAAATTGGTGAGAATAAGATTTAAAAGTAACATAAATGTTTTTACCCTACCTAACCCTAAACTTTAACCATGTACCTATATCTCCATGACTATGGGGTCCGCACTTTTTGGATACAGGGGAGTAGCCTGTATGTAGATGTAGGCCTCTTCACGACAAATATAACTGGACCATAATGGAAAGCACAACCATGATTTAAATTCAGAATTTTAGAAATTAGAAGGAATTCTATAGGAAATCTGGCTTAAACTGGTTATGCTGGTAATGGACGCCTGCCATTCAGCTTTCTTATTCTGTATCCACAGATTCCTTCTTTCCTTATTCTGTATCCACAGATATTTATTTGAAAGCAAAATATTACAAATCTGCCTTGGTTGCAACCATTGTTTGTGTGACTGCAAATAATTTATATTTTAAAATCATCCTCCAATGTCCTTCTGTTGTAACTACACATTGCGCTGCACTACGTAACATAGACAGGAAATAGTGTTGTATAAATGATAAATATTTATTGATTACAGTTGCATAATATTTCACAATATTGTGTCTGGACATAATATTAAAGTATTGATGTTTAACTGTTGACTCCTGTAACTGTTTGACGAGGTAACTTGACTAGTTTTAAGCCATGCTAGGGTCACGAGCCCCCGACTAATGAGCACCATTGCGTGACAAATGAAGCAGCAAGTGTTGCACACCTCACAGCTGTAATACATAGTCATTATTATTGAAATAGTTTTTTTATTTTACAGTTTTAACTCGTTCAGTACCGTCATTATAGACACAATTAAAGAACAATAGGTTGCGGTCACCGGTGACCGCTTGGTGTTTGACAGTTTAAATTAGATAGCTACTACCTAAAAAATGCTCGCAAGTGCGACTACCGGGCAAGGGGTCTCGGGTTCGATTCCCGGGTTTGGCCAAACTATTACTGGAACTGGAATAGGCTCACTTCCTATTACATGGGATTCATAACATAAATAGTGAAAAGTGGGTGTTATATTGTACAGTGTCATAATGTGCACATTAGAAAGAGAAGAGGTGCACCTCTGCCTACCCCTTCAGGGATAAAAGGTATGATGTTATGTTATGAAATATAATAAAACTGTACTAAAGATGTTTCTGTAATCCCAATATAGGTTCGGCGCTGGTTCAGAATATGGCCGCGACGTGCGCGAGGAGGCGCGACGCAAGAAGTTCGGTATCATCTCCCGCAAGTACAAGCCTGAGGATCAGCCCTGGATACTGAAAGTCGGTGGCAAGACCGGCAAGAAGTAAGTGATCACTTGTAAACAAGTTACAATAAGGTAGATGCCCAATTTTTATTTTAATGTCCGTCTGGTAGATTATTTCAAATCATTAGACACGTATTTTTTATTTTCTATACTTTCGACGATATATTGATGTGAAATGTCACGTGACGTCACTTCTATGTACATTTTATACGTAGAAATACGTAGAAAAACGTTTTATCTAAGTATTATTTTATAATACAAAAAAATAAAAAAAAATACGTGTCTAATATTTTTTCATTATCTAACTTACGAACTAATTAGATTTTTAATTTTCATACCCTGTCATCATCCCTATTGTAAAGTTTTTTTATTCGGTTAAATTTTAAATTAGTTGTCTTGATTTATCTCTACCTACTGTTTTTAAACTAAAAACATGCATAAATATCCTTTGTAGTTGCTTAGTTAGAAAGTGAGAATAAATAACTTGCCTCGTTGGCCAAGTGGTAACACTGAGTCTGTAATTGTGCTCAGTATATGGCAATAGGCTCACCCCCCTATTACACGGGACTCATATCATAAATAGTGAAAAGTGAGTGTTACATTGTACGTACAATGGCATTAAGTGCCTCTGCTTATCCCTTCGAGGATAACAGGCGTGATGTTTTGATGATGATGAGAATAAATAACATTTTATTTCCTATTAAACAACACACAGTATTAATTAAAGGAATTTAGTTAGCAAATTCAAGTAATATCGTTAGCAAACTATATTACTTTAATTAATACTCTCTGCGTGGTTTAATGGGAAATAAAATGCACTGCCAATAACCTCTTTCTTGTAATGTAATAGAAACACTACATAGTATAAAACAAAGTCGCTATCCACAGTCTGTCTGTCCCTATGTATGCTTAGATCTTTAAAATTACGCAACGGGTTTTGATGCGGTCTTTTTAATAGATAGAGTGATTCTTAAGGAAGGTTTATATGTATAATACATGTATATTGCACCCGTGCGAAGCCGGGGCGGGTCGCTAGTTAATAATAAAATACATTCTGTGCCATTATTCTGTCTAGATTCAAAGGTATCCGCGAGGGAGGCGTGTCAGAACATGCGGCGTTCTACGTGTTCACTCACGCCGCCGATGGAGCCATCGACGCGTATCCATTGCAGGAATGGTGAGTACTTTATTGCAGAGTGATATTTTATAGTATGAACCGAAGCAGTAATTGTAACTAAAAAGTTTACTTATTATTCTTTTGCTTGGTTTCAGGTATAATTTCCAACCCATTCAAAGGTACAAAGCTCTGTCAGCTGAGGAAGCTGATGAAGAGTTTGGAAGGTAAATTATTAATCATGCTTGACCAAAGAACTGGTGATAGTTTTTTTAGGGTAGAAAACGAACGGATGTATCTCCTAAAGGTACTGGGCGCCGCCCATGGACATCTGCAATACCGGAGAAGTTGAGTCAGGATTAGGGGATTTGAGGATTTGGTGTGGGGAAAGGATTTGGCCTTTTAACGAGCAAACGGATCATCCTGATGGTAAGCGATCAGCCCTGCCATGGACACCTGCAACACCACACGAGTCACAGGTGCAGTGCCGGCCTTTTAAAAAGGAATACGCTCTTTTCTTGAAGGTTTGAAGTTAGTGTCGGTTCGGAAATACCGCTGACGACAGATCATTCAGAGTAAAGCTACGTGAGAAGCGCACAGTTGTGACCTGGCAATTGCTAATAATATTTTCACAATTATTTCAGACGCAATAAAGTGCTCAACTACTTCTCGCTGATGTTCCGTAAGCGCATGCGCGGTGATGACGCCGCAGATGACGCCGACGACCCCGACGAGAAGAAGCTTAAAGGCTCAAAGGCTAAGAAAGGTGAGACATTTCCTCGAACCTGTTCAATGAAACAATGACACAATATTTGTTTTCTCAATAGACTAGAAAATAGCAATGATTCATTTACTTCCAGAATAAACTATCAGAATCACCTGAAAAATACATTAAAATGTCAGAATGTAGGTACTTCGTTTTCCTACTGAGGATCTCTGTCGGTTAGGTTTCTGTTGGCTTTGCTTAACTACACATTTCATAAATTATTATGTTTTCGGCTTACTCACGTAGTAATTTGACGAGGAACTCGACTAGTTTCAAGCCATGCTAGAGGCTCATGTTCATGAGCAGCATATCGCGACCCGCGACGCGGCGACTGTCGCGCTGCTACTGTGAAACTAGTCGAGTTCCTCGTCGAATTACTACGTGAGTAAGTCGAAAACATAATAATTTATTTAGTATGTCTCACGAAAGTTACAATACATACATTTCATATGGAAGAAACGTCAATCTTTTTACCAGTTAGGCTAAGAGAAACTAAACCGTAATGAACCAATATTAAAATCTATACTAATATTATAAAGCTGAAGAGTTTGTTTTTTTGTTTGTTTGTTTGTTTGAACGCGCTAATCTTCGGAACTACAAGTCTGATTTGAATAATTCTTTTTGTGTTAGATAGCGCATTTATCGAGGAAGGCTATAGGCTATAAAACGTCACGCTACCACCAATAGGACCTGAGCAGAGCGTGTGAAACCGCGCGGAAGTAGCTAGTTATCTATAAAGCAAACATGTATGAATGATGAACTAAAATTGCTGTAGAACTTAGAAGTATAGTTTCTATGGATCATCCTATATTACTATATTAAATTTATATTGCTATTTTAAATGGTTAATCCTGTAATTATTGTTAATATGATAAATAAATAATAAAAAAAAAACTTACTACATTGGTTAATTTTCAATTTTTATTTCAGATCTCAAACTGTCAGAAATGGACGAGTGGATAGATTCTGACGATGATTCCTCTAACTCTGAGAATGAGAAAGACAAAGACAATGATAGTGATACAGGAGCTAATAATAAAAAGAAGAAAAAGAAAGGTGAGGAATTTGTGCTATTGTTGCTTATATTCGCCATTAGAGGCGCTGGTGTCGAGTTTGGGGTACTGAACGTAAATAAAATCATTCCCTGTTATCAAAGTCGAAGTCATTGTCAAAGTCAAAATAATTTATTTCAATTAGCCCAGGAAGGCACTTTCGAATATCAAAACAAAATATTTAAATATTAAAGATAAAATGTCAATCAGTCGGTCAGTCATCTAGTGAAGTTATTTGCTCATTCCAAAGTTTAGATTCCTATGGAGAAGAATGAGAAAAAGTACTAAAGTTATAGTCTTTTTAATAGAAAACCTTTAAATAGAAAGTGAACCTATCGCCATACATTTGGAACGATTCAAGACCAACTCCTGAATCCCCGAATCCACAATCCCAAATTCCCAATACCCAAAAGGCCGGTAACGCACTTGTAACGCCTTGGTGTTTCGAGTGTCCATGGGCGGCGCCGATTGCTTACCATCAGGTGATCCGTCCGCTCGTTTACCGGCTTATGCTATAAAAAAATTTAAATACTGGAATCTGCAGTAGTAGAAAATATACCTACTTTATCTTAACCAGATCTTTAATTGACAGACTAGCTTCTGCCCGCGACTTCGTACGCATAATCCCTTATTTTCCCGTCCCCGTTCGTGATTTAAAAAGGTAAAAAGTAAAAAAAAAATTTGGTTAAAAAGTATCCTATGTCGGTCTCCTGGCTCTAAGCTACAATCTACCTGGTACCTCCCTACCAATTTTCAGCCAAATGTATTCTGCCGTTCTTGAGTTATAAGTGGTGTAACTAACACGACTTTCTTTTAATATATAAGATTTAGTTCTAAAGTTGTTGTGGTGATTAATATCTTAATAATATTGCATTACTTGGTACAGCGGCTGCCAATAAAAAGAAGAAGAAAGTGGAGGATGAGGCTTTCGAGGAGAGTGACGACGGAGACGAGGAGGGACGAGAGAGGGACTACATATCAGACTCTTCTGAGAGGTACACTACACATATTTTGTTATATAACATCACGCCTTTTATCCTCGAAGGGGTAGACAGAGGTGCATATTATACCACTGTACAATGTAACACCCACTATTCACTATTTATGTTATGAGTCCCATGTAATAGGGGGTGAGCCTATTGCCATAAACTGGGCACAATTCCAGACTCCGTGCCACTACTGAGATTTTTTTTAAAAACACCAGTAATACTTTGCCCGACCCGGGCATCGAACCCGTGACCCCTTGCCCGGCAGTCGCAATTGCGACCACTCGGCCAATGGGCCAGTCATATTTTCTTTTATTGCTAAACATTGGCTTTGCACATTACACAGAAAGGTAAATTGAAGGGATTATTAAACGAAATATCTCTATGTTCTGGTTTAATTTTGCAGTGAATCTGATCACGAGACCAAAGCCAATAAAGAACTGAAAGGTGTTGCAGAAGAGGACGCACTCAGGTAACATACCTCCCTTATTGATAATAGTTGTTTGATTTTACAACTTACAATAACTTCAAGTACGTTATACAGTCATATGTAACTGTTTAACGAGATAACTTGACGCGGCTCGGTGTTTATGAGCTAGATATAGCTTGAAGCTAGTCTATTTGGGTACTTTCCGTAATCAAAAATAAATTATTTCGACTGTTCAATCCTTACTAATATTATAAATCGGAAAGTGAGTTTGTTTGTTTATTTGTTCCGACTTCACGCCGTAACTACTAAACCGATTGCATTGAATTTTTGCAGACGTAAAGTTAGTAGTCTGGATTAAATAATAGGGTACTTTTTATCCCGACAAAATTTGATATTCCCGAGGGAAAACAAAAGTATTGGTATAGATGGCGCTGTATGTATTGGTATATGTCACATAGGCTATTTTTTATCCTTTTGTGACGCGAGTGAAGCCGCGGGTAAAAGCTAGTACAATATAATGTTAAAAAATAATCACACTTTCATTAATTAATTTTGTGACCAACTTAATTTTAGTATATTTCTCGCAATTTTTTAAGAACACACACAATATCGTAGAAAATTCAAAACTGTCGTTTTTGACAGTTCGAAAAACGTATTGAATTCGTATTGTGACGTCACGTTTGTTTAGCGTCAAACAGCATAATTAGTATTTCTTAAAAAATTGCCGGAAAAAATACTAAAATTAAGTTGTTCATAAAATCAGTGTGATTATTTTTTAATATTTTATTATATTGAACAGTCGAAATAATTTATTTTTGATTATGATTAAGATAAAGTACCCAATTGTCTTTTTGAACAGTTTGAATAAGCCGTACGATATCACTAATTCAATAGTTACACGATAGGTTACATGCATTGTTTTTCTGACATATCACAACTACTTTTAGAAAACTCCTGGCTTCCGATGAGGATTCGGAGGAGGAGCAAGAGAACAAGGAGCAGGAGGAGGAACAGGAGGACGAGCCCACCAAGGAGGGAGAGGAACGAGCCAGCAAGCTCACCAAGAAGAAGAAGAACAAACCTGATGATGCTAAGAAAGGTATGTTGATACAGTTTATAGTACAGTTTCACATGGCAAGGGAGAGCCATGCTTCGGCAAGAATGGGCTGGCTCGACTCAATAATATCATGGCCTCAGTGGCTGTTTATGGGCGGCGTTAATTAACCATTATCAGGTGATCGGTCTGCTCGTTTACTATCTTATCCCATAAAAACCAATTGGGTAGACGACTAATTTTTATATGTCCGTCTGGTAGATTATTTAAAAACATTAGACACGTATTTTTTATTTTCTTATGGAAACGAATAGTTTCGGAGATATGTTGATTTGAAATGTCGCGTGACGTCACTTCTATGTAAATTTATACTAAGAAATGACGTTTTAGCCCCCACTCCTAAACGTTGATTCGTTTTATCTATAAAGTCTAAATCTAAAAAAAACTAAGTATTGTTTTATTACGACAAAATAAAAAAATACGTGTGTAATGTTTTTTAATTACCTAACATACGGACTAATTATATTTTTAATTTTCATACCCTGTCATCATCCCCATTGTTACCGTTGCAGTTGTATACTATAATATATCCTACTGTGCAAGTTTGTTGCCTTGCCTTGACTGCCTCATTGGCCGAGTGGTCACAAGTGCGACTGCCGGGCAAGGGGTCTCGGGTTCGATTCCCGGGTCGGGCAAAGTATTACGGGTTTTTTAAAAATCTCAGTAGTAGCACAGTCTGGAAAAATGTGCCCGGTATATGGCAATAGGCTCACCCCCTATTACATGGGACTCATAACATAAATAGTGAAAAGTGGGTGTTACATTGTACAGTGGCATTAATGCCGAAATGTGCACTTCTGCCTACCCCTTCGGGGATAAAAAGGCGTGATGTTATCTTATGTTATGTTATGTAAGTTTGTTATAGAATTCGTGATATTTGCTTGTAATTTTTTTTATAAAACTGCTCTTCACTGCATTTTTCTTCTGTGTCCTGAGTGTGGTTACAAACATACAGGTTTACATACACATGACACCCAGACCCGGAACCCGAACCCGCGACCCGTTGCATGGCAACCAGTTGCCCAGCCACCACACCAACCGTGCAGTTATTCCACTTCATATCCATATAATTTACTTATTTATGATGTTATTTTAATGTTTCAGACTCAAGCAGTGAGTTGAGTTCAGACTCGGACACGGACCCTGAAACTACCCCTGCAGTGAAGAAACCCAAGAAATCTAAGAGCAACGATAAGAATGGACACACTGCCAGCACATCCGGTATGTATTGTACTGGTGTAGGTTTAGGGAACAGAGAGTATAGTTCCCTAAGATCGAGGATCTAGGCGAGGTGATCGTGCCTGGCGGGCTTTCTGCCCAACAGTTGTTCGTTGGGATTTTCTATCCGTGTTTATTCGCTTGTAAACTTTGCACGTGCGATGTAGGATTCTTGTGACGTCATCCGTTGACAAGTGACATGCGTCGCCACAAGGATGTAATTCAAATGATTAGTGACTTATTAGATTACAGTAAGCTATTGATAGTGGTTGTTACATGTATTATCACTAGTTTACTAAGTAGTGGCCCCCTCACTGTAATGTATTACATACGGTAGAACTCTTGTCAAGAATGACACTGTCTATCTAGCATACTTTGGTGTACGTACACGTCGTGTGCTCTGTACATAATTTATATTAAACTAGCTTTTACCCGCGGCTTCGCTCGCGTCACAAAAGAATAAAAAGTAGCCTATGTGACATATACCAATACACACAGCGCTATCTATACCAATAGTTTTGTTTTCCCTCGGGAATATCAATTTTTCCGGGTTAAAAAGTAACCTATTATTTAATCCAGACTTCTAACTTTACGTCTGCAAAAATTCAAAGCAATCGGTTGAGTAGTTACGGCGTGAAGGTGGAACAAACAAACAAACAAACAAACTCACTTTCGGATTTATAATATTAGTAAGGATAAATACCTACAAGTAAAACCAAACCACGTCTAAGTCAATAATCCACCAACACAACAGTGGTTACTTCCAGTCAGCTGTTTAGTTTTATTCAGTGCATGATGATAATCTAAATAAAATTTTGAGTTTGGGGTAACTTGACGTGCATTGTTGACTTGAGAAATAACCTGTATTGTAGTTTGATGCAACGTGTATATGCCTTTTTACCTTGTCTTTTAACAATCATATATTTTGTTTGACCCAGCGGCAGGCAGTGCGAATACGTCCCGGTCGGGCACCCCGACGCCGTCGGCCGCGCAGGCTGCGGTGGCCGCCGCCAACGCCGCCAACACCAACATGCCGCCCGCCAAACGACCCAAACTCGACGCTTCGTACAGGTAAAGTAGCTTTATTATAATACTAGCTTTTACCCGCGGCTTCAATCGCGTCACAAAAGGCTAAAAAGTAGCCTATGTGACATATACCAATACACACAGCGCCATTTATACCAAAATATTTGTTTTACTTCGGGAATATCAAATCTTTCCGGGATAAAAAGTACTTTAAATTTAATCCGGACTTCTAACTTTACGTCTGCAAAAATTCAAAGCAATCGGTTTAGTAGTTACGGCGCGAAAGCGGAACAAACAAACAAACACACAAACTCACTTTCTCATTTATAATATTAGTAAGGATACTACAGGTTCAAATTGCCGTACAACCAGTATCGATAGCTCATCTATCGGCCTTACAGAAAACCGACGTTTCGTCGTGTGAGTGAGGTTTCCGGAGGACCAATAACCCCCCCTTCCCCAATCAAGTTCCTGATCATCTCAAACGATCCTCAAACTCCTAATCCCCAAAATGCCAGTAACACACTTGTAACGCCACTGGTGTTCCAGGTGTTCATGGGCGACGCCGATTGCTTACCATCAGGTGATCCGAGAAGGAACGGGGTGGTTTTTAGTCAGTAAGAGTCTGATATGGCTAATATGGCTAATATGGCAATAGGCTCACCCCCTATTACATGGGACTCATAACATAAATAGTGAAAAGTGGGTGTTACATTGTACAGTCGCATAATGTGCACCTCTGCCTACCCCTTCGGGGTTAAAAGGCGTGATGTTATGTTATGTTAAGAGTCTGATGCCGGAATACTGAAACGTTACTCAATTTTAAGTCATGCTTAAATATCGTGCCATCTCTGTCATTTTACAAAGAATTTGTGGAGACAGAACTATACTTAAGCGCGACTTAAAATTGAGTAGCGTTTGAGTATTCCGACATGACACTCCCTCCTGCCTCATTCATTCGATGACTTTCCCCTCTTAAAAAACAGACTACCTTTATCTGCGCTGTTAAGTAATCTAAGGTAGGAATGTATGCATGTATATGATACTCATGTTCACATATCTTTCCAGTGAATGCGGTGTTACTGAAGAAGCAGTGCGTCGCTACCTCGCACGTAAACCGATGACGACAACGGAACTCTTGACAAAGTTCAAATCTAAGCGCACGGGGGTCAGCAGCGACCGCCTCGTGGAGACCATGACGCAGATACTGAAGAGAATTAACCCTGTCAAACAAAATATTAACGGAAAAATGTACCTTAGTATAAAGAGCACATGATTTATTTTAGCTAATATATATATTTTGGATAACTTTTTTGGAGTTTTATTGTGGGGATGTTTAATTAAGTTACGTTTGTGAATGAATATAGAATTAAACAATATGAACCTTTATACGGTAGGATCACAAAAAAGTAGAAAATGTCAATGTGACTCTCGAAAATGATAACGACTGAAAACCCAATATTATTTTACCCGACCTAAGGTCAATTTCAACTCCCTGTGTTGTGCATGTGTTCATAAAGTTGTAGTCATTTGAAAAATCTTTCAAAGCAGGGTTGAATGAATGAATACAAAAAATAAAATAATAATGTATACTTTTAATAAAAGTATTGTACAACTTTGTTCATCTTATTATATTTATTTATACAATTATTCAGACTTATTCTAATAATTATAATTTACTGCCTTATTGAATTACACTTAGAACAATACAAATTTTTAATCTGTAGTTGAAGGAAGCCATGTTTGCCATAAACAAGACTTTATTTTTTATTTTCTATAGATATGATTTTAATCTTATTCCTATTTTAAATCGAGCCTTTTAGACCACAAATAAATATCTCATTCGGTTCTCAAGTTATCCTTAGATAATATTTTTATTATTAATCTTTATTTTAATTGATTTCTAAAGTATCACAGTGGGTAACTGTTTGTTCTACATTTCTATTTTATTGAGCTACGAATCTTAGTTACTATTTAAAAATTAATTATTATCGAAGCTTGTTTGATGCGTGGAATATAACACTAATAAAGAATGTTATGTATTTCAACTAAATATTTGATCTAAGAAGAACATAAAAATTATTCGCCTTTATATCAAAAAATATATGATAAAGACATTTGGAAGCTCATTTTGAAACCTTTCTATTAAAATATTCATCAATGAAATATATGTTTCAGTAACAATTACTTACTTATTTACCTATTGAACTGTTTGTAGTAAGCACTTACAGAATACTTATTTTTCGAGCAAATCACAAAGTGACGTCATTGTGGCGACACATCAAATGACAATTCACATACACAGACTTCAATGAAACAAATCAACGGATGACGTCACATAATCCTACATCGCTCGTGTGAAGTTTATATGCGAATTAACACGGATAGAAAATCCCAACAAACAACTGTTGGGCAGAAAGTCCCCTAGTCTCGATCACCTCGACTGGTCGGAGGATCCTCCATTTCCGATCTTAGGGAACTTTAGTCTGTTCTCTAAATCATAAAATAAACACGAACACAGAAATAGGCACATTTTGGAACAATCAGGCACTCTTATAATAATTATTAAAGCGATATCTAATTGCACTGTTATACAACCTTTGTTTTAATTAATTTCCATAGATATGATATCACTTAACTTACTAATCATCAAACTATTGTCAAATGTAGGTGAACATAATAGATTATAAGTTCAAGCCTAGAGTACCTACCAAGCACGAATAACTATCGCATTCGTAACTTAATAGTATCGAGCGCGTTCGGCGTTCTGATTGGCCGGCTCCAGTGAAACAACCGCTCACACAGCCGGGAAAAGCCATTCAATGATTTTCCCCCTTAAAAAAAATCTATATTCATTCAATGCAGATAATGAAATTATAAATTCTGTCCATACTGTCCATATATTCCTTATGTGTTTATACACCGTTAAATTTGAATCGTTTTAATCCCTTGGAGGTTCGAACTGGTCCATGAAACACTATCGATTTGTAAAGATAAAATTAAAAAATAAAGTACTTTTTTTTAAATAACTCGAATCAATTCTCGCATGAGTGAATAAATAATGCGAACCGTTAGTACAGTTATGTCGGTCCTAAGCCCGTAAAAGTATGAAGAAAAATTTGGAATCAATTTATTTGTTGACCTACGCAAACATCAGTTGATCGGGCCGTGTACCGGTACTACGGTACCTACACTGCCCGATACGCAACGACCGACGACGACGTAGGTAACTATCTCGTGGCGCAACTTTTGGTTTCATACATTTTGCGAGTATAATCTTATCATTTGCTAATTTATTTATTTTTTATGTTACACCGCAGTACAAGCTTGTAATGAGTAGTATATTCTGTTAGTTAAACCACAGGTCCATGGGATTAAAACGACTAAAATTTAACGGTGTATAAGTACTCCTATCATACTCCTATATAACATTTCCGTACCTACCACAACAATGTTTTATGTACAGTGGCCAACATATTAACCTACACCAATGTCTCAAATTGGATATTCATCTTTATGTCAATACAATAAAGTTGATATTGTGACACATAAGGATAGGTTGACGTGTCCACCGAACCTATCTACATACTTGTCACCACATCAGTCCAAGGCAAACTATAATCACAAAATCTCGATACGATTTGTATTGTAACTTTCGTGAGACATACTAAATAAATTATTATGTTTTCGGCTTATTCACGTCGACTGTCGCGCTGCTAGAGTCACCGCGTCGCGGGTCGCGAAAAGCTGCTCATGAATATGAGCCTCTAGCATGGCTTGAAACTAGTCGAGTTCCTCGTCAAATTATTACGTGAGTAAGCCGAAAACATAATAATTTATCTCGATACGATTTTCAAAATTACAAAAATATTCTGAAAATCGTCTACCTACATTAATTAATGGTTTAACTACGTACCCTAACAGAAAGCACCTTTAAGTACATCAGTGGGATTACCCTTGAGAATGCTTGGAGCAATGTCTATTATTATCTTTAGATCCCTTAATACCCGTAAATATAAATTGTAACGTTACGTAATAAGAGCCTTTTGTTTTTCGTTCTTCCATTCCATTTCTTCGTTGTCGTCTACTGCTTTTCTGTAAAGATGAATTTTAATATTATTATTGTTTTTTAAACATACCCGGCGTTTGAAGTCTCGACATTTGTAACGACAAAAATCAGTCGCTAAGTCGTGAATTTCTTCGTTAGATTTTTCAACACCAAACTTTTTTAACAAAGTTGAAATTCTGTTATAGAAATTTTCTGTTGACTGGTCTTTGTCGTTGTAAATATTGGGACTGCTGACCCTATATCCAACCAATGAATAAGAAGATAAAAAAATTGGATTAGACAAACTCTGTCCTTGCTCGTCCATAAGTCCTAATAAAGAAAATTGACGAGGGCTGAAAAAGACATGTTGGACAGATATAGCTCGTACCACCATCTAAATAAGAATGCATTTACCTAAACAAATAGGTTTGCTACCCTAAAATCAACATTGTTCATTTCTTACCTACATCACCAGAACGGAAAATAGTCCGGAGTTTACGCATTACACCTTTGGTAAAGCCACATGCCTTGTAAGAACTAGAAACGAAAAAATAGAAGGAAAAGTCACGTCGATGAAGAAATAAAGATAAGAATAGCAATGAAAAAAGGAAGCAAGGTCATAGATCAATCAACATAAATGACAAAATGAACAAACACACAAACCCAAAAGCTGAAAACTTATGCAGAATCCTTTCTCTATGTAGAAAGCGCCACCTAGTGTTCAAACGAAGACGAAGAACCCCGAAGATTACTTTATCAGCCATTTTAAGGCCATCGGCTCGAAGAGCAGGAGTAGGCATCGTGGTTCTTAGTCAGTAAGAGTATGACACTCCCTCTCGCCTAACCCAAGGCGGGAGAAGTCATCGCCTTTCAAAAAGCCACCTTAATTGAAGTAATAAACAAAAAATGCTAAACTTCTTCATCAATTCAAGCCTTAATGCCTAGATCGATTAAAGATCGAGTACCTAAAAATGAACAAACACCCGCAGGCCAGAATAATTGAATAAAACATGTTATAAATACTAGCCTCTTATACTAAACTTAACTACTACTAAACCGAATCTATCCAGTTTTTATTATCTAAAAACAAGGAACACCATCGACACAAAAAAGAAACACTACAAAAAAGAAGACAAAAAGCTTTCCCAACATATAAACAAGCGATTTCGGTTCATGCAATACTATCATTATGCTGTAATTTTAATTCTTATTCAAAAAATATTCTTATTTCCTCACGAATAAGGTAGTTAGTAAAATATTTACCCGCATAATGATTGTTCCTGTACTAGTCGCTCTCCGTCCGCCATAGTTTGTGGCATGGGTCTGCCCTTGGTCTCAGGCAGCACGAAGCTGATACCTGATCCTATCACTGATATGATGCAGAGGATCAACAGCGGAAGAAGCGTCCATATTCTTTCCTGTGAATTAAAATAAGAGAAAATTAAATAGGTATTTGAGTTGGCATGTCATATAAGCTGGAGAAACGAAAAGAAGTTTAGAATTTTAAGCACAAGTTATAGCTTCTTAAATATCTTCCCTTAGAGGGTCGTGGAGGACAGAATGGATTATTTTGCTATTGCGAAATCAATAAAAAATTTCAAAGTCTGAATTATCAGTCATTTTTAAAAGCAAGTACAAAGCTAGTAAATATTCCAAGTACTTACAGAATACACAATGTACGGTGAGAGTATAGATATGATGTAGCCGCTCATGTGTAGCGTGGCGGAGCCCGAGGCTCGCACCGCAGTGGGCAGCAGCTCCGTGGCCCACTGGATCACCGCGTTGTATGACATGTTCATAAAGAACCGCGCCATTATCGCCATTGACGCTTGTGGTATGCCTGTAAACCAGAATAGACGTGTTTACAAAAAACTTATTTTTTTTAATGGCATAAGCCGGTATACGAGCAGACGGATCACATGATGGTAAGCAATCGGCATCGCACATGGACACCTGGAACACCAGAGGCGTTACAAGTGCGTTACCGGCCTTTTGGGGATTAGGAGTTTGAGGATCGTTAAGGATTCAGGAATTGGGGAGATCGGGGAAGGGGAGAGTAATTGGGCCCTTTTGAAATTTTAAAGCCCATAGTTACACCAAAAACAGCATGTTTTTAGGTGTCTCGGATAGCAAGTAATAGTTTCGAATAATCACACAATGTTCAACAAACCTTTCGGCACTATCATAGCGATACCAATAAGTATAGCTGCAATAGCCAATGGCCCAGCTGTGAGTTTTCTGCGACCCCATCTGAAATATATCAAAACAATCAGAGCAAGTTCCAAGTCAACCCAAAAAAGTGTTTTATCGTCATCATTAAGTGATGATCACTTAATTTTATTAATAGATTTTCAACCTTATTACTAAAATAAATAAAGCTAAAAAAATCTATTACACAATAAAATTGTCGCTACTAATGTCGAGACTACCAACTTTGCCTGATGGTCAGTTGGTTCCTGAAGCATGCTAAGAACTTTTGTTTTTTTTTTCAATGAAATGGCTTCTTGTATGGTCATTAACTTAGATACTAAAATTAATTTCTGCAATAATTTAAACTCCTCACCTATCAAGCACGATAGCCAACAGAGTGACGGAAGGGATCTCAGTGGCTGAAGTCAACGTGAAACTGATGAAGAAGTCGAGTCCAAAAGCATCAGACATTCGGACGAGGCCGTCGAAGATCACTGAACAGCTCATGTAGACTATCAGCATGAGGATCATCGTTAGCCGGAGAGGAGCACTCTTCAATAGAACCAGGAGCGACTCCTTGCTGTCCTTCGTTTGGTTTGATGCCATCTGTTGGATGTTAAAGATATTTTTATTATTTGTTGAGGTATAAACGGGAGTACTGTATAGATTTTGTACCTTAATTTAACTGGTGTCAAAGAACCAAACAAAACAGAGGTAACAACCAAATAAAACAGAGTTACCTACATATAAATGGTAAAAAGTAAAAACTTCATTTAAGAAAACCGATTTACTAATTCGAAATATACGATTTTGATGAAGTTTTTCCTAATAGAAACGAAAGGAAAACGGAAAACTTACAATGAATTCATCCATGACATCATCTGGGACCTTCGTGCCGTTGACCTTCTCGAATTTTCTAAGGACCTCCACCGCCTGGTTGACGCGACCGCGGCTCACATACCATCTGAAATACGAAGAAAATAATCGTTAGGCATGTCTTAATCTTAGCCGAAAGTTTATTGTTTAATAGGCCTAGTATTCAATCACTTTGACTAGATTTTAGTGTTACATTGTTCTCGCACAATCCAAACAGCAAACTATGTAACTAGATAATTGTATTGTGCACCTGATTGAAAAAGAGTAACCTATGGAGTTTCTTGCTCGTTCTTCTCCATAGGAATCTACACCTTGGAATGAGCAAATAGCTTCACTTTTAATTTTATTATTGACGTTCAAAAGTTGACTTTGACTTTGACTGACTTAAACAGCTAGATCGCCTTGTTGGTAGAGCGCAAGTGGGGCTACTGAACGAGGTATCATTACAGGGTTGTCTAGGGGTGGGCAAAATATTCTGAGTAGTGCCCCCTTTAGAGCTATAGGCTCACTCTGTATTCCATGACATCCATAACAAATATAATAAAAAAACTAGTTAGTCTTACAAAAGAAATTAGGTACTTATTCCCTTATTCTCTTTTTCTGTCAAACGTACCTCACACTCTCTGGTAGGACAAAAGGCGCGAAGACAACGAGTAACATTGGCAGGGAGGTGACCCAGAGAAGCATTCTCCAATCGCTGATCCAAAGAGCTAACCAGGGTAGGCAGAGGCATCCCATGCCGAAGTACAGCGCAATAGACATGTTTGCCACTATAGTACGGTACCGAGATCCCACGTATTCAATCACTGTAAAGAAAAAAATATATTTAAATTCAGAATAAGTGTCTGAAGTGAGTATGATGTTCTAGGTCATAGAAGTAAGGGGGCAACCTCTAGCTAGTGACGATATTCACAATGTCGCTGACAGTCATCAAGTAAAAACAAGGGCTTTTTTTTTAAGGGGGGAAAATCATCGAATGACTGCTCCCGCCTGGGTGTGGCGGCAGGGAGTGTCAGGTTCTTACTGACTAAAAACCACCCCGTTCCTTCTCCTGCACTTAGAGCCGGAGCCCCGGTAACCCGTTAGGTTCTCCGCGACAAAGGGCTAAAGATAGATTTTAATGGTGTCCTGCCTATTGGAGAGTCCGTTCTCAGTAGTAAGACAGGGGATTTTATACCCATATTTGTTCATGGTTTGTTAGTATGCTCATTCTCGATTACAATGAGATTTATGAGATTCACTAGCTACTTCCGCGCGGTTTCACACGCTCAGCTCCTATTGGTTGTAGCGTGATAATTTATAGCCTATAGCCATCCTCGATAAATGCGCTATCAAACACAAAAAGAATTATTCAAATCAGACTTGTAGTTACGGAGATTAGCGCGATCAAACAAATAACCAAAAAAACAAACTCTTCTGCTTTATATAATAGTTATTAGAATAACGACCAAAAATTTACAACTTACCTAAAATATAAACCATCATGAATGCGTTGTCGAAGGACATGCCCACTAGGAACCGGCAGAGAGTAAAGTCCCATACTCCTTTTGTGAAGATTGTAGCTACGCCACCGATGCCACCGATTAGGTTGGCAGCTGAAATAGGGAAATGAGAAACGTTAATAACACTCATTTTGGGTTTTGATTCCCGTTTTGATGATGAAAGCAGAGATAACACAATTGTCTTACTAATACCTATTTATAAAAGGCTTATATTTAACTTACCACCAGATATAGTAACAAATAGCAGACAAAAATAGTAAATGATCACCAAAATGAAACTCGCATTTTAACGTAAAATTATAACCGACGTTTTAACACTTTGCTATCCTATTTAAGTAAAATGACTCCAAGTAAATCATGAGTAACCCCAAAATAGTAAATGATCACCAAAATTAAACCAACATTTTAAAACCTAACCTAACCTAACCTGTCGCGGAGAACCGATGAGTCGTTCGATGATTTTCCCCCCTTAAAAAAAAACCTAACCTATCAAGATTTGGTAATCATTTACTAAATTATATTTATTTATTTATATTTATACTATATTTATTTATACTATATTTATTTAGTTATTATTTAGCTTTAGTTTTTTTTATACATATTTCTTATTTTTCTATTACACACTGTCTTATGTTTTAATTAGATTTCCTGTCTCAGGTCTACTGGAAGAAATTCCAACAGGAATAAGTAGTACCTTTGTACTCTTATTTTATATATGTGTTATCCTCTGTGCTGTCTGTGTGTACATAAATTATTAAATTAAATTAAATTAAATTTGGTGGTCGAATACAAAGTTGAGTTAGTTTATTTTTCTGGTGTTAAGTAGATATTTTTGGTTACAAAACTAAGGGTGTCAAAGCATTTTATGGTGGTCATTATATTTATCCCCATTATAAAATATGCATAACTTTGTAAGGATGTATGTGTGTGTGTGTGGTTGTTATTCTGTCACGTCAAAACGGCTGAAGAGATCAAGATGAAATTTGGAACAGAGCACAGGGTAGATTATGGTCTGTAATGACACATAGGTCGGGCGGGCGAAGTCGCTGTGTGTGTGTGCTAGTGTGGGTGTGAGCGTGTCGTGTGTGTGTGTGTCTATATTATGTGAATGTATCTTCAACGTGTTCTCTTTTGTTTTTATCAATCATATTATCGGATACTAGATCAATATTCTAAGGTTGTTGACGTTCAAAAGTGCCATTCTGGCCTAATTGAAATAAATGATTTTGACTTTGAAGGGCAATTCAAAACAAAATGTATTAAAGGCCAAGGTATTATGGACTAAGAGCCAGCGGCCCGCAGACCTTCGGTAAAGTATAAAACCTGTAAGTTTCTCAAAGTATGTCCCCAACACAGGTAAGAATGAATCCCGTCTATGTAACTTGGGTCGCGGTGGCTTTCGCAGGTATCAGGTAATAAAGGTGTGTAAAATTGTGTGTTAAATTTGGTAAAATATAAAACTCAGTTTTTACATATTTGACTTATAATAATCCCAAAAGTCATCTTGCCGAAAGCCAGACACTTCGTACAGTTCCAACCCTCTGCCAGACACCCTTAAAGTATATTTAATTGTTACTATACTTACGGTATAGTATAAAATCTGCAATTTATATATATTATTTGGATAACTATAAAATAATGTTTCTTCAATAGCCAGACAGTTTCTGTGGTTCCTTTATGTTGCCAGGCACATAAAAAGTCTAATGTAGGTGCGAGCGTGAGGGATATATTAGTCAGCGGGTGCGAGTGAAATAGCGCGTTCGGTCCCTTGCGACGTTTTACTGCGCATCAACTGTCATTTATTGTGTATTATGTGGTGAATAGTCATACGTACAAGAAACGTTTTATTATTGTATTGTTCAATTTATAAAATAATAATAAGGGAATATCAGTGTGATCATGGAAGGACAATTAATTTGTTTTCTGTGTAAGAAAAGTGATGGAAAAATAATATTGTTTTCTGAAGGAAAAGTTTGGCGACAGTGAAGTATTTGAAAATTATGATGAACAAGAAAACGTCTTTAATACCATTCAGCGATATATATGCAATTTATATAGTGTTGGTAATATTATTGATGTTGATACAGCAAGATTCCAAATGTTTATAGATTCTTATACAGTCTCTGATGTCAACGAGGCATTTAATCGAAAAAAATTACGAAATTTCGATGCCAGCAGTTTGCCACCTTGTAAAAGTGAGCTATCTCAGCAATTTTTGCGAGCAAATTATATTTGTACCATTTGGAATAATGCTCACCTGAAGAAACCAACAACATACAAACCAGAAAATAATGGTTGGATCCTGCAAAATGATCAATATCATTTTAAATGGTTTGAAGGTGATCAGCTACCAAACTACGTCAGTGATTCTCTAACAACTGTATCAGGTATGTAATTATGATGTTACAATATTATTGAGGAAATTTTGATTATTTATGATTATATTAACATGGATTAATTATTACAGAAACTGGCGAAGAAGAAGACGATATTGATAACGACCAACCCATAGATTGGAGCAGTGATGATGAAGACACTCAAGATATCGACGACTACGATGACAATAATTAAATATACTCTTTTTTTATTAATAAAATATCTTTGAAATGTTTTTGAATTAATTATGATTCCTAAACACGAAAATTTTATAAAAGAATTTTCTAAACATTTATTCGTTGATTCTATGTTATTATACCCTTACTAATGTATTTTATTAATGAATTTTCATAGTAAATCTAGAAAATAGTTCTCATTATACACAATAAATGACAGTTAATGCGCAGTAAAACGTCGCAAGGGACCGAACGCGCTATTTCACTTGCACCCGCTGACTAATATATCCCTCACGCTCGCACCTACATTAGACTTTTTATGTGCCTGGCAACATAAAGGAACCACAAAAACTGTCTGGCTATTGAAGAAACATTATTTTATAGTTATCCAAATAACATATATAAATTGCAGATTTTATACTATACCGTAAGTATAGTAACAATTAAATATACTTTAAGGGTGTCTGGCAGAGGGTTGGAACCGTACGAAGTGTCTGGCTTTCGGCAAGATGACTTTTGGGATTATTATAAGTCAAATATGTAAAAACTGAGTTTTATATTTTACCAAATTTAATACACAATTTTACACACCTTTATTACCTGATACCTGCGAAAGCCACCGCGACCCAAGTTACATAGACGGGATTCATTCTTACCTGTGTTGGGGACATACTTTGAGAAACTTACAGGTTTTATACTTTACCGAAGGTCTGCGGGCCGCTGGCTCTTGCTCTATTACCACGACACGATATGAAACTTTTTACAAAGAATTTGTAATGACAGAACTACATATACTTGAGCGCGACTTTGGATTTAGTTCCGTTTCAGTATTCGGGCATTAGGTTAGGTCAACAGATGTTAATTAAATTAATGTCACTAACGTCGTCATCTTTAAGACCATGCGTAATTCTAAAAAAACAGTATGAAAATGTGACAACTACGCGCTTATTAATATGTTGTTATTTCCCACACTGGATGACTAACTGCTTTAATTAATTAAACCACATGTTGACAATTTGTGGACCACTCGTGTTTATTCACAAACATCTGTCGCCGATGAGACAGTGAGTACTCAAGTAGATCTTGATAAACCATTGTTATGATAAAATATTTGTCTTTGAATCTTTATTTTTGTGTAGAATCCGCGTGACTGTATTTTTGGACTTTTTTTTAAGGGGGGCAAATCATCGAAACACTGCTGCCGCCTGGGTGAGGCGAGAGGGAGTGTCAGACTCTTACTGACTAAAAACCACCCCGTTGCTTCTCCTGCACGTCGAGCCGGAGCCCCGGTTACCCGTTAGGTTCTCCGCGACGTATTTTTGGACTACGAAATACATTTTTGATTTCCGCTTTTACTGCTTTTGCGAGCGTTGTAATAGCCTAACTATTCTATCTATCATTTAAGAGAGCCAGGACAGCAACGCTCTTTGATAATCCAGAACCTATTATACTATGCAACTGGCAAACGTGAAAAATATTGTAAGCCCCTGTTTTGGTACAAGAGGCCCAAAGTTCAGCAATGTACTACCACAGGCTGTTGATGGTGATGGTTGATATTTATCTTGCTTACCCATAACAGCTGGTACTCTTCCAAAGTGATCAGCTAGCCAGCCCAGGATAAGGCCCCCCACGAAGGCACCGGCGAAGAACACCGCCTGAGCCATCGGCACATTTTGAGCGTGCTCACACACCCAGCCTCTCTGAAAATGCAAGTAGTAAATGAAGAGGCAGTTCGGTTATACCACGTATAAGAGAAGGCATGTTTTAAGTTTTAATAGGTTTTTTTTACGGCATAAGCCGGTAAACGAGCAGACGAATCATCTGATGGTAAGCAATCGGCGTCGCCAATGGAGACCTGGAACACTAGAGGCGTTACAAGTGCGTTACCGGCTTTTTGGGGATTAGGAGTTTGAGGATCGTTGAGGATTCAGGGATTGGGGAAATTGGGGAAGGCGAGGGTAATTGGGCCTCCAGTAAATCACACGACGAAACACAACGCTAGCGTTACTTCACGTCGGTTTTCGGTAAGGCCGTGGTATCACTCCTGTCGAACCAGCCCATTCGTGCCGAAGCATGGCTCTCCCACACTTATAACACTGTCCATAGGTGACAAGATGAAAGGTTTTTTAGATTTTATTTTACTGAATGTCGTTAAAGTAATCGGTGGAGTACCTATATCATCTACCTGGTTCTATTGCGAGTTACTTGGGCTCAGTGTAATACGTTTTTTTTTTCAATTTATCCGTTCTATAATCTCCTATCATGAGATACTCCTAGTTTTTTCATATATGTAATTTGTCCATCTCTTCTCCCTTTATCCTCTTCCCTTCGGTCTGTTCACTTGTAAATTCATTTAGCTTACACTGAACACGATAAAGATATCCTGAATGATGTTATCCATTGTGAGAAAATCTATAAATCTATAGATTATTAAAATAAGAAATCGTGACCCTCACCTCACTAACAACGGTGGCATAAGGTATATCATTGAGCTCGAAGTCCCAGCCATGTTGGCAGGGTATGGTGGGCGTGCCAGGAGGGGGCGGGGTCATCGTCTCCAGCACTTGAGTCCAGTTCACGTCGTATGTGACGCATCGCTCCCATTTACCTGATGCCGCTCCTGGCGCTGATAGGTTGCGTCTGGAATGGAAGCAGTGAACTTATTAGATACTTGACATATACATTAAGCTCTACGTCTCGTATTTATTCCATGGGGGTTGGAGATTGAAGCTTCTACCTATTTCAATAAGGTAGAATTTATAGCAGGACTGCCTCGTTGGCCGAGTGGTCGCATGTGCGACTGCCGGGCAAGGGGTCTCGGGTTCGTTTCCCGGATCGGGCAAAGTATTACTGGGTTTTAAAAAAATTCTCAGTAGTAGCACGGAGTCTGGAATTGTGCCCGGTATATGGCAATAGGCTCACCCCCTATTACATGGGACTCATAACATAAATAGTGAAAAGTGGGTGTTACATTGTACAGTGGCATAATGTGCACCTCTGCCTACCCCTTCGGGGTTAAAGCCGTGATGTTATGATATGTTATGTAGAATTTATAGCGATACCTATTACCATCACTACAAACTTCTTTCTCTTCCGTCACATTCATGAAATTGTACAAGCACGCTGTATCATTTACAATAACATCAACTTTCATTTCTAACTCCTACGTTGATCGGATATCGGGTCCATGGAATCCAGGCCCTTTCCAAGTTTCACGATTTTCGAAAATAATCGCCTACCAAACGAGACTCGCAATTTAACTGGAAAAATAGATGTTGTTTCAGTCAACGGGCACACCAGTACATCTACTTTTCAACCTTTAACAATACTGTTTGTACTTTGCGTAGTTCTAAGGAGCATATTTTAATGAATAAATAATTTTTTTTGAGGGGGGAAAATCATCCAATGACTTCTCCCGCCCGGGTCAGGGCGAGAGGGAGTGTCAGACTCTTTCTGACTAAAAATCACTCCGTTCCTACTCCTGCACTTCGAGCCGGAGCCCTAGTAACCTGTTAGGTTCTCCGCGGCCCCGTATCGGCAACAGCCCAATTGGGCCCATCTGTGGTGGTCTGATGGCTCCTTGAAGCGCGCGTGGAACGCGACGCGCCGTACGCTCGGGCCTGGTTCTGGTCGGGCGCAAGTTACCCATGCTCGCCGTCCGCAGGCCCGTGCTTACGGTGGCCGGAGATAATGAACAAATATTTAGCATTAAGAAATATTTAGTCACATTTTTCTTGATCATACTCGTGGATGAAAAACTTTCGTTTCCAAATACAAATACCTTATCTGGCATCTAATCTGAGAGTCAGACCGTATCGAGGGGGATAAGCATTTCGTTACATTTTATCTGATAACCAGACAATTCTGACATTGGATCAGTTTTGATTGTCACTACTCCAGCATTCTTTATCATACCTATATAGGCTTTTGTAAGTATTGCAGATTTTCATATCTGTAGGTATATAAGTACATAAGGACTATTGTTACATTTTCATAGTAAACATTTGTTAGTATTTTCTGGTCTAGACTAAAACAAAACCTCTTTCGTGTACCTTTCATTACTTGACACCCTATTTTACTAAAGAAAATGACGTAGGAACAAAACAAAGGAGTGAGGGATGCATGTGAAAAGCCTACACAAGCTTTATTATGAATGAAGACCTACCTAGGACCACAAGACTTTACGATGTAACCTCGTGTCGTTTTAAACCTCTTTGGAAGGGACGTACACCCCAGAAACTTTTTATATTTAAAAACAGTCTTTAATTTGAATTTTGAACACGGCTGCTTTCTTTTGTCAGAATGACAGCTATTTACGCGGGAAAGTATTTATAAAAGCACAGCATTGTTTGAATTACCAAAATTGTGGAATTTGTGTATAAATCTTATTTAGGTTTTTTAATTATAATTACATACCTGACTTCCATTTCCAGATGAGCGAGTTCAGGTATAGCACACCAGTGGTTCTGTGGTGTGGCGGCTATGAACATCTGCACGAAGTATATAAAGGCGAAGAATATACCGAAGGGCATCATGACGATAAACAGGAACTTCTGGTAGCGCCCCATGTCGCCAATATGGCTGAGCACCGCGTCCAACGCGTCCGCGTCATTCTTCGGTTTTTTGGTGAACTCTTCTTTGGCATCCTGAACGAGAAAATAAATGAGTAAAGTGATGTTTGATAAAGTCAAAGCATTTATTTCAATTAAACCATAATTTGGAAAAGAAATTAGACTATATTAAAATAAATATCTGTTTAGCACACTACCATAACTATATGTATTTAATAATTAACATAACCATTGTCATAATAAATAGTAATTTAAATATAGAAGATCCAACAGTCAAACTATTTATATATAGTTTTGTTGGACATGGCGTTAGATTGCAAGTTAGATTGTATTAAAGGCATATCATGTACCTTTATTATTAATAATAAATAAATAATAATAATAATAGTCAGTCCATCAGTGAAGCTAGGTGAAGCTAGGTGCTCATTCCAAAATGTAGATTTAAATGGAGAAGAACAAAAAAGAAACTACATTCGTTACTCTTTTAAAAAAGTATGTTCTACAATGTCTCTGATACATATAAACTCTGGTAAAATTGAAACACTTTGGCCGTTGGAGCTTAAGCGAGCAGTCGGATTGCCTGATGGTAAGCGACTAACGCCATCTATGGACATCCGTAATAGCAGAAGACTTATAGATAGATGCGTTGCTAGCCTATTGGGGGTAAGGATTAAAGGTGTGAAGACATTTGTAAAATGCTCCCACAATACGTATACGACAAAAGTTTTCGTGTGGGATAAGTTTCAAAACTTTGTATAAGTAAGTATTGAAGAAAATAGTCCGTATTGTGCATCTTTACCATTCACAGGGTCCCGGTCTGAGGCCCTTTAGACAACTTTAATCTAATGAAATGGGCACAGTATTGTGAATATTATTAGTCTTTTTTTTTTAAAGGGGGAAAATCATCGAATGTCTTCTCCCGCCTGGGTGATGCGAGAGGGAGTGTCAGACTCTTACTGACTAAAAACCACCCTATTCCTACACCTGCATTTCGAGCCGGAGCCCCGGTAACCAGCTAGGTTCTTCGCGACGAATATTATTAGTCTACTGGTCTGATACCAAAATAGAGAAAGATAAAGGCAATCCAAGGCGATAGAATCATTTCTCAGTTGGTTGACCTTGGCTACAATATCTTTTTCAGATAAATTATAGATACCTACGAGTTTTAAATCTAAAGTGAAACATTTTGGCAATGATTTTTATTTTCACTTCAAAATAACTATTCATTGTTAGGTTTATTCTGTGCTTAACCCATTTTATTCATTAATTATAAAGTATAATTGTGAGTTCCACAGAAATATTTAATTTTATATCTATATTTTACCTTATTTATTATATCTATGGCAAGTTAAATTCACTATTTACTTTATTTTCTTCATATTTTTATTTCATTTCTCTTTAAAAATTACCTACCTACAACATGATACTTTTATTTATTTATTCATAGATAAATAACATTTAACATTTGATTATGTAACGTCCATTTAACATAAACAGAATAGAATAGAATCATAAAATTCCTACCATACAATTGACTATTAAAGTTATCACTGTCACATAGAAACGAATAATAAATTTTAATGCATAAAAACAGTGCCTATACAAGTATGGAGAACTTCTTGGGCTTGTTTCACTGCTCTCATATACCCGTTAAAATATGGCAGAGAGTTCATCATATTTACAAAAAATGCCGTAAAATAATATTCTTTATTTGGATGACCGTGGTTCTAGAAGTTGTGAACCATACCATTAACCTTAACCTGCCTCGTTGGCCGAGTAGTCGCAAGTGCGACTGCCGGGCAAGCGGTCTCGATTCGTCTCCCGGGTCAGGCAAAGTAATACTAGGTTTTTAAAAAATTTCAGTAGTAGTATGTAGTCTAGAATTGTGCCCGGTATATGGCAATAGGCTCACCCCCTATTACATAGGACTCATAACATACATAAATAGTGAAAAGTGGATGTTACATTGTACAATGGCATAATATACTCCTAGATATGACTAAAGCGTATGACAAAGTCCAATTTAACATTCTACTAGATAAATTATATAAAATAGGAATTAGAGAAAAAGCGCACAAATGGTTTACTTCATATCTAAAAAATAGAGAGCAATACGTAGAAATAGATAATTATAACTTTGAATTTAAAGAAATTATAAACATTAGATCGGACAAAAAAATCATAAATGCGTCAATACCGCAAGGTAGTGTAATCGGATGTCTACTCTTCTTAATTTACATCAATGACCTCCCGAAGATTACAAAGGAACCGTGTGTACTATTTGCAGATGACATATCACTACTCACCTCATGCAAAAATATGAACGGATTAAATGAACGGCTCAAAAACACTTTTGTTAAAATAGAAGAATGGATGAGAGAACATAATCTTGAAATCAACTACCAAAAAACTAAATTAATAACCTTTCATCCATATCAAAAGTCCTCATTAGAAATAGATTTTTCAACCAACTGTATAAAAATAGAAAATGTTAAAGATTTCACACTATTAGGAATAACCGTAGATACAAATTTAAACTGGAAGACTCATGTAAAAAATATCCGAGCAAAAATATCAAGATTCGCCTATGCTTTCCGGGAAATCAAGAAGACCACTGACTTTCAGACTACATTATCCACTTACTATGCCTACGCATATGCGTGGCTTAGCTACGGAATTATTTTGTGGGGAAATAGCACAGACACACCTTCTCTTTTCACTCTTCAAAAAAAACTTATCCGCATCCTAACTAATATAGACCAAACTGATAGTTGTCAACCCTACTTTAAAAAACATCAAATACTTACCTTACCATGCATCTACATTCTGGAAATATGTAAATTTGTGAGAAACAATATTGCCTTCTTTACAAAACGTGGAGACAAACATGCAAACAGATCACTAAGACATAAAAACCGACTACTGTTACCTACTTCTAATATGAGCCTACATTCCAATAGTCCGTATGTAATGTCTATAAAAATATATAATAAGCTACCAGAAGCCCTAAAGGAAGAACCCAGAAATATAAAATTTACCAATAAATTAAAACAAATACTCATAAATAAAGCATATTATAATATTAAAGAATATATTAATGATAAAGATTTAAAATAAATACTGTAATTAAAAATTAAATATATGTACGACATATATAATATTAATGATTAAATCACCTATTACAATAGACATATTTAATATATATAACGAAAAAAAAATTAAAATAAATGTTTAATATATAAATATATGAACCTACATAGAATATATAAGTACATTTTACATAAATAATACTAATAGCATTACAAAATAAATTGAACAAAATAACTACTTATAACTAGTAATAAAAAATCTGCGATACATAATCTAAATAAAATTAGCGTCCTCCTCTCTTCTACGTTGCCGTGCCCTACAGGGTCCATACTGTACTATATTATTATGTAACACCTTATAAACATATGGAGTGCAATAAACGTATTGAGTATTGAGTATTGAGTATACACCTCTGCCTACCCCTTCGGGGATAAAAGGCGTGATGTTATGTTATATCCTTGAGAAGTAAGTTTGGTGTAAAGAACCGTAAAAATAGGAATTATTTGCTAAGAAGGAAGCGGGCCTCGGGGGAAATATGCGGTTGTTTAGGTATTCATACGAATTCGCGACGAGACGTGCCAAGTCGCTTGCTAACATGTGTTTGTTGGTAGGCAACTTGAATTATTGCTCTAGTCTACTCGTACGGTCGCGGAGAACCTAACGGGTTACCGGGGCTCCGGCTCGACGTGCAGGAGAAGGAACGGGGTGGTTTTTAGTCAGTAAGAGTCTGACACTCTCTCCCGCCTCACCCAGGTGGGAGCAGGCATTCGATGATTTTCCCTTCTTAAAAACAAAATCTACTCGTACGAGATAAAGTAAAGAAATAAATGGGTAAGAACTGAACAGAAATACACACAGAAGACCCGTGTGAAACAACGCTTGTGTCGTGTGAGTGAGGTTACCGGAGGCCCAATTACATCCCGTTCTCCAATCCCTGAATCCCGAACGATCCTCAAATTCCTAATTCCAAAAGGCCGGTAACGCACTTGTAACGCCTCTGGTGTTCCAGGTGTCGCGATTGCTTACCATCAGGTGATTGTAATCGTTTACCGGCTTAACTATAAAAAAAATAAGGTAAAAAGTGGTATTATGATTGTGATAAGTTTTAGTAAGTTTTATAAAAACGCAAGCTTGGAAGATAGGGATTAGAAATTAGAAGGTAAGAATAATTCGTTTAGAAACTAACAACATAACATAACATCACGCCTTTTATCCCCGAAGGGGTAGGCAGCCCCCGAAGGGGTGCCTACCCCTTCGGGAGTAGGCATAGGAGAGGTATACATTACGGCACAAAGCCACTGCGCAATGTATATAAACATCAGCAGCTGTAGCCAAATGCCATTTAGCGCTTGTCTACATGTAGAATAGACAACTAAATTATATGGGATTGACGTAAATTTTTACACTTGTCCGTGTCATCCCCATACATTTTGATTTCTACTCTCTCTGTAGACAAGCGCTAAAGTGGCGTTTGGCTAAAGGCACAGGCTAGATAAACCTGTTATCTATAGACATCAACAAGTTGTGATTAACATTTACCTACTTTGTACGTAGAGTTCAACGGCCTATCTTCAACATAAAATATTAAAGCACTCGTGTCGCTAGTCGCTAAGCACCATAGTACTTCAAATTTCAATTTTTTATTATCTTAAGAATTACAATATCTGTCGAATATTGAGTCAGTCCCAGTAAGTTATCTACTATATAAAAATAAGTCGGGTTTTCCTTCCTGACGCCTGATGCTATAACTCCAGAACGCACGAACCGATTTCCACGCATTCGTTGGAAAGGTCTCGGGCTCCGTGAGGTTTATAACAAAGAAAATTCACTAACAACCGAAATGTTACATAAAACGAAGCCATCTGGTGGCGAACTGCGAACGAATTGTATACTTAAGTATACAATACTTGTATTAGGCCTGACTCGCTCCTTTCTTTATTTATTTAACACTCTTAAGAACAATAGCTTTCAGATCTGTAAATAAC